CCCCGATGTGTTAAAGTCCGTATTCGGGAGAGACTGCTTCTTCCCTCGAGAAATGCTTTGCTGGTCGCTGATGGAGCGATTTCTGCTTGTTTGTTAAAGTCCTAGAAGCTACATATTTAGTCTGAGGTTTGTCTCCGGGTTTCGTGGGATGCTTTGATCTTTGCGGCGGCTGCTGAATAGTCACTTCGGGACTTGGTTCTTTGTATCATCCTCGCAGCCTTCAGCAGGTGCAGGATCCTGCCCCAGCAAATCTGCTGCAAAATAATTTGTTGGCCTGTTCCCGCCTGATACTTTTGCGTAGTTATTTGTTACGTAAAGCCACAATGTGGTAATCCAGCAGCACTGATTTCAGTGATGCCTTAATAAGCAATAACTTTAGAGCTATCTTAAAAATATATTCAAGTTCAGTGAAGCTTGGAATGACTTGAGTCCTTCCTTTAGTGATACGATGCAAAACCTGTGAATGGCAGGTAAGTGACCGCTGTGTGATGAAGTTCTAGGGAAGGGGGGTAGAGAATCTTCCGAAACATCTTTCCCCGCTTTTTGTGTAGTTTACACAGAACGTAAGAGTGATTTGGTAGTCACGGGGTAGTCCTCAAATTAATGGCTCTGTAGGATTTTGAGTAAGTCTCTTATTTTTCCACGTCTCTTTTTCCTCTTTGTAAAAGGGTAAAGTAACACTTGATCACTTACTAAGTTAAAAGTTTAATTTTGTTTAACATATATGTTTTAAACAGAGCCTGAAACACGAATAAAATGTGGATTCTTCTTTTATTTTCTGCTTGGTATATCTGTGTAATGTGAAGAGGGGCTGGGTCAAATTTAGCAAAGATTGCAAAAGCCTTGTTGCATGAAGCTGTTCTTCATATCTGTGCTTTATTTTTAAATACCCTGCTGTTTTATACTGAGTACCGTAATAGTCTTCCCTGTGTCTTAAGGGAAATGGGCAGCTGGATGATGGGTAGACCTCCATCCATTTTTAAACTGGACTTTTATGTTTTTAATAGCTTTTTCCCCCTCTAACTAATTAGTCTGATAGTTCAGTAATTCTTAGGACTTTTAGAAGATGGAGAAGAGCTTGGTTTTTCTTTGAGAAAATGTTTAGTAATGCCTTAATTTAGCAGCCCTTATCAACGTTTATCAGTAAGCTACGGCCATAGAAAGGTTAGAAAAATAGTTACTACGTTATCATTTTGTATCCCATATGTTTTAAGGTTTATTAAAGAACCCTAGAAACTTTTATTGCCAGTTACAGCACTCAGGAGTGTTAAGGTTTTCTTTGAATGGGCTCCTCTGGGTAATTGAGTTTATTCAGAGGAGTGTTGGCTGGGTACGGCCCAAAGGCACGCCCTGATATTCTTCATAGACTAGAAATGATACTTTTTTTTTTATTCACATTTGCATTTACTGTAGCATAGCGCTTGCCTGCATTGAACTGTGAATTTCTCGAGGATAAATTTATCATTCTCCTTTTTTCTCCTAGAAGAAGAGCCTGCCAGATATTTTTATACTGAATCTTACATGCATAAAGAACTACCTCTTTCACATCTAGCTGTTATCCTTGAGAAACTATTGAAGCCTTAGGAAGATGGTAAGTTTTGTACATTTCTTATTTAGAAATTGAAGTGCAGGAAGTCATCTAATACAGTAATGTGTATCCCAAGGACATTTAAACATAGCGTGGATTTTCTAGTTTAATCCAGCTATTGCCACATGCAAATATCTGAATTTATAGTTTTACCTCATGGAGGTGTCTTTGAAGTTTAAGTTCGTTGCTGGATGCTCTGAAATTATTGTTTCCTTCTAACTGATAATTTATTTTAAAAACCAAAAAGGTTACCTATTTGATTGGATTCCAGCCTGTGTTTGAACCAAAAGTGCTAATTATTTGTTTAGGTCGAGGAGATGAGTGAGGAAATATTTTTCTTCTCCATGGTTCTAAATGTCTTTTATATTTATCTTTATTTTATAGGGCTTCATTTCAAGTTTATTTTTAAAGTTAGTATTTAAGCATTAGTGTTGTAGTATTATTTTGCTATGCATTAAGCACTTAGCAATAGTAAATATTGCTAAATACTGCTAAGTACGGGGGGAAATTGCATTAGCACATACATCTTGATCTCAGGTTTTTAAAATCTTGTATCTGTACTTCACTTTACATCCAAATTCAGTAGAAGTACTTCTGCACAAAAAACGGTATATGAATATAAACGTGCAGACAGTTTTTCTTGTCATGATGGTGAGACTTGTCATGAGATCCTGTTGTTTAGCTCAGAACACATTAAGTTTATTAGCTTCTTATTGTTTCAGAAACTTAACTCTTTATCTTTCCATTTTATTCAGCCTATCCCATTTTACCATTAAATCATTGTAAAATTTACCCATAAAATTTACTCTTAATATTGATTATTCTTTTTCAAATTATGCGTTTATTGAAAGGTTCACCTGTTACCACAAAACATCTCTGATGTAACTTAAAAAAAAAAAAAAGTTAACAACAGAACTGCTGTTCCAAAAATGAGCTGAAAGAATCACTTAAGCGTCTTAGCTTAGAGAGAGAGAAGAAAATTAATTCACTTGCTATACACTTGAAGTAACAGAAACTTCTCTATGCCTTGCTGTGATGCAGAACATCACAGAATTATCATTTTTTAACTTCTAGGCTAGTCAGTGTACTGAAGTAATCTTGTTATAACGCTTTGGATGGTAACCTAGGAGAATAGTGGAAGAGTGGGAAGAGTATTCTTCAAAAGTATAAGGTTTGTGCACTCAGGACGTAGCAAAATACAATCAAAAAACTTGGAAATAATGTCTAGTAAGCATTATTCTCAAAAATGATTCAGACCCTCGTTTATTTGAGCTGTTCCTTTGTTTTCCTTCCCTCCCTTCCCCCCTTAATGCGCAAAATAAAAATCCTAAGGACTGAAGTAACATTTAATCCTGTGCCTCGCTCTGGTTTGAGATTCAGAAAGTTTTGCAACCTGTTGGTTATATTGGACATCTGCCTACTAAATGAAAATCATGCTTTATAGTGAAGCCAGCCATTATTGCAATTAAAGCCAGTATAGTCTATAAACCTTGAGTTACTGCTTTTTTTATGTACAGTCTGTTGCCAAAAATGGCTAGAGACTTGGATTTGGGGGGGGGGGGGTCTTTTGTTATTTGAACAAACTACTAGTAGTGGGGGAAGCAAGAGTCTGAGGTTGCTTGGAAACCTGCCTGCTCCGTATGACAGTGTAGAAAGCTTCCAGCCTGGCAGTGGGAACACTGAAAACCTGATTAATCAGGAGTTACTGTCTTTTAAAAAGGCTAGATCAATTCTGCAGCTCACTGGGGCGTGCTCATGCACCAATTCAGTGGAACTATTAAGATAGCTGTTTTTTGAAATTATTTCTAAGCATTAGGTATATAGTCATGCGTGTTAATATGAGTTATTTGAAAAAACTTTATGTTAGACCACTCTTCGTTAGTTATTTTTCTGTTGTCATAACATGTTATTTAAAAATAAAGCATTTCACACCAGGTACAGTCTGACTTTGCAGACTTGCAAGCACTGCAGTGAAGTTCACAGCTGACTACAGAGCTATCCAGCATGAAAAAAGAAAAAATCTTAAATGAGCTGATGACTTGAGTTCTACCCCTACTGATGTTATTAACATTGTCCACATCTTATTTTGCCTTATAATGAAGACAGCAGTATTTTTAATGTTTTCAGTGGAGAGGCTAAGGGTTTTTTTTAGTGTGAAGACTGTTGCATAAGCTGTGTATTGTAAGGCATTTTGGCAGGGGTACAGCCTTTCTCACTCTGTGCTATATCTGTTCTGTGTATATAGAGAAACTCAGTCTCCAGGACTATCAGTCTGCCATCTTTCATCAGCACTAAATTTACTGCAAAAGCTTTTGGTGTGTACGCAAAAAAGTCCTATTAAAATGTTTGTAGACGTGAGTAAAAAAGGTTAAACTAAGTGCATCTTCTGTTTACTTCTCCCAGAGAATTCCTCTTTATTGAGTTCTGATAAGTACACATCGGTACACTCTGCTGACTCTCAAATTCACTCAACCCATGTTTGTGTGTATATCTTTTTCGTCTTTAATAGTCTGGTAATGTCATCTTGCTCAGGAGTGTGTCATGCGAAACAACTTTTTTTACTCTTTTTACTTATCTACTTACTATATTATTGTAATGTCTGAAAAATGAATTGCTGACCTGTAAAGTAAGGAAAATTTGTAGGAGAAATGATGTATACAATATTTTTGTAGACAAATTTTTATGTGTTACAAGCTTGCTTTTAGGAACATAATTGCTTCGGAGCATGAAGTTCTTTCTGTTGTTTTCCTGATACTGTACTCCGTCTTCTCACCAAACTGAATTGCTAACCTATGACCCGATAATCTGAGCTTTAAAACTGTTTTTGCCCACCTATGGGATGGATTTAATTTTTCTTCTTTTGTTTCCTTTGGAAAAGGAATATTACACTAAGGGGCAAGTTAAACATAATTAAAAATAACTGAATAAAAAAAATTAATACTAGTATGTGTCGTATATTTGTAATAAGGGCATCTGCTAGAAAGATTTTTAGGCTTGCTTGAAGAATATGTCATTGAAATATTAGTTCAATTTGTAGTATGTGTTTTGGGGGTTCTTCCCTAATGGTTAAAACTTGGAATTTTTTGTGCTTTTAGCCTCTAAATGAAGGTATGATGTTCTGTCACTGTACACCAACGTTTCAGTTGTATGTGCAGTAGAGTTCTGGTGCTGTTCATTCTGTTGTTACTATGTTACAGTTAACTAAGGGCAAAATAATATTGGGAAGCATCTATCCTGAAACGTAGAAGGTTGTAAATTATTCAGTAATATTTTGGTATCTTCCTTTATCCACGTCTTTGTAAAATAATGTGAGGCTCACAGTGCAGATCCCTTACATATCTGATCCCAGGAGGATTTTAGATAGCTGAAATATAAAGTTACCCTTTATCCGATGTGGAATTGGTGGCTGCTTAGTTTCTTTTCTGGATTTATATTTTCTCAAGGAAGACTATTAAAATCTTTTGTTTTAGCACTTTAATATGACAAAATTAGTATAAAAAAGGAAATATAAATCATTCAGTGTGTCTTTAGGTTGTGGCTGTCCTTCTGTCTTGATATCATTTAAACTGTCTGGGTTTTTTTTTTTTAAGTGAAATTAGTTTTATTATCTTCTTATTACAGTAGTGATGCTTTGTGAAATGGTTTGTGTTTTTTTTTTTTTTAATGGAAAGATGCCTTCCTAATGGAAAGTACTTAAAGTGGTCTTAGTAAGAATTTTCTCAGAAAACTGATTTAAAACAGGTTAGATCTCTGGCTCTTTACAGATTCAAGTATTACAAACAAATTCAAATTCTGTTAGGAAAAACTGATAACTGTGCGCTTCAGGAAAGCTCTGCAAGACTTATTAATCAAAAGTGTGTGCAAATTATTAGAGACAACTCATATAGCCAGCATCTCTTTACACAATGAGAACTGAAATGAACTACCTGAATAACTTCCTGTTGAAAAGGGAAGAGTTAGAGCAGCGCTCAAGGCTGAATTCACCACTGGGCTAAGCGATCACAGTTTCGTTAACTTCGGACGAGTTACGGTAGTGATTAATTCGGGGGGGCTGTGATCTGATTAATATACGCCTGTTTTGGTTTATACTTGTTTGAATTCTCGCTCAAGTGTTTAAAGGCAAAAAAATAAAGAGAACCTAGTAGTTTGACCAACTTCATGTAGGAAGTTCAGAGCAGAGAAAGGACTAAGTTAGATGAGACTAACTTATCTTAGTCATTCATATCCATGGACCATTCCTCTTTTCTAAAATATAAAACCAACAGGTGAAAATTTTTTGTAGAGCTGCTGAGTAGTTCTGTTTTTTTTAATAATGACAGTTATTGAAGTTCTGTAACAATAAGCTCTGACGTTAGTTACTTTCCAGTTGGACCTGCAGGTTTGATAACAAACAGATCACAGTCATGTAATACTTGCAGACAAAAATTGTTTCGCAGATTTTATGGATAGTTTTCTGTTTGTAGTTTCTTGTGGTCTTTATGTGATTTAGGAGCTAATTAAATATTTTGACCACGCTATTTTTTTTTTTATATTTATCAGGGCTGTTACATTTGTTCACCCCTCAGGTGTAAATTATGAAATTCAGCCTCAGTAAGTGGAAAGCGTTGAATGCTCTGTTTCTTCAGATGGGCAGGTCTTGAGTAATTGCCCAGTTCTTCTTGTAGCTCTATTTCAAGGGACTGTATTCTGTCATTTCTACCTTTTTCTGTCATTTTCTACCATTTCTACCATGTTTGAAGTTGTTACCAGAGACACTGAGGCATTTGAGATCACTGCAGTTTTTTGGTTTATGGGATGAAGCTCTCTCTCCTGAGGTAGTAGAGTTTATAAGCTTTCTTACCTGGTAAAGATTTGGCTAAGAATGAGCTGAGTTGATTAGTTTTCAAAAACAGATTATATTGATTTGACTTCATTTTTTTATGAAAGGAAATACTCATCCTGCGAAGATCTTTGAACTCTTAGTTATCACCTCACTTACAGGTGGCCAAAACTTCATTTTCAGTGCTGGTTAATATAAAACAGTTGTTGACGGTTGTTAAGCAGGTATGTGCCAAGCTCACAGTTTTTGTCTGTATTTGTTTCTTTTTCGCCTAGAGATTATACTAATAATGATTTTTTACTGATTGATGAGATACTTGCGTGAATTTGTCTAGTGGCAAGTTTTAAATTTTTATTATACTTCATTATCAGATTTGTAAACCTATTCAGAAGCGTGAAAACAATCTGGGAGTTGTTCAGCTGAAAATAAAACACAAATCGGGGCAAAAGGCAAATTACTTATGCTCGTAAGACTTAAAGGGAGATTTGTATAGCCCAAGGCAGGACCAGTTACACATGGGTCATTCTTAACTAATGTTTGTCTAGCCTGTTTATAAAAGTTTTGCAGTGATAAAAGTTCTTTATCCTCCTATGATAATCTGTTCCACTGCCTTACTACTTCTCACTACCTGAGAAAAGTTCCAGCACTTAGCTACTCATTTACTCTCATATCATTCAGTGTACCCAAATGTGAAATTTGTCCTAGTATAGCTTGAAACCCAAAACTTATATGAGGTCTCTTACAGTACACTCAGGAGACTGATCTGTGTTTGAGTACTGAAAAAGAGCTTGTTTATGCAAAATTTTTTCCCCAACTCTTGTCTGTTTTCTAGTAAAATACATTATTTGTTCCCAGGCAAACCACTTGGGTTTGGCTACTGACTGAAATCTCTTTTTATAGTAATGGTAAGCGTGGAAGAGTAGATTATGTTTAGCTGTATATTTTCATCCTTGTATAGTATAGCTGTGAATAAGCAGTATGAAGCTTAGAAGTTGAAAATAGCAGGTGGACCTTCCTCTCAGAACCTGGCTATTCCTGTTGTTTATAAATGTAAAGATCATCATGCCTTTAAACGTCAGTGTCACTTGAGAAATATCATTTTAATGCCAGAAAGTGCCAAACCACCAAGCCGTTCCTGCTCAGATGTTTTTGTAAATTCAGTGAATTAGATAAACCACTCTTGCTTCTGAGTATTTCCTGGAGGATACCAGACTTAACATGTTTGAAGAGATAGACCTTCTAAACCATGCATCTGGCACGTGGAAGCAGAAAATACAGAAGAAGGTATTTTTGCCCCGAGTACATTCTTTCAAGGCAGAAGATAGGGCAAACTGAACATAATCAGGAGGCTGTTAAAGAGATTCTCTCATAGTGAGGCTATCCAGTAATGGGATTGCACATCAGATTATCTTGTGATAAGATAAACCACTAATGAGTCCACGCTATGAGACAGCACAACAGCTTGGTAATTTTTTTTCTGCAGGGGTGTCGGGTTGGATAATGAAATTGTGTGCCTAATTATTTTTTCCTCCTTTAGACGCAGCCTTTTTGCAGCATGCCAACCATCAAGTGTTGTGCATAGAACGCAACAAAGAGCATAAGTCTCCTAGCTGCAAGCGGTCTGGCCTTGTGAGATGATGACAGCTAAATGAAATGCCTACCCTCTTTACCTGTGGTCTCTTCCTAGTGCAGCAAATTGTGCGATGGTCAAGTACACCTTCAGCAGCTAGTACTTCTCCCTGATTTTCTTAATGGCTGTGATGAGGCAGGGGCACTCCAAAGCAGTTTGGTGATAATGTTGCAACTTGCTTCAGGGATATTTTGCATTCCTCGTCAGTGGAAGAAGCAAATAGTTGTAGAAAACTTACACTTGTACTTTCTCGCAAGAACACATTTTCACAGTTTGTTAGTTCTCGTAACAGCATAGTAGATATTGTCATGTTTACTGCAAGACAGTAGACAGTAATGGTATATTATATGTAGCTTTACTGTTCTTGAATTATGCCGTGTAGCTACTCTACTAGGTTGTCTAGAGCTTCCTCTCCATTGCTATACGTCTTCATTTGTAAGGAAAAATAATTTTTCATTAAACAAGAAATCAACATGTTCATCAACATTCTTTCATGTGTGCAGAAATTAAATTGCAGTAATAATTTGCAGTGCACGTTTTCATTTTGCATGGCCGTTACAGTTTTCACATCAGTTTGTATTGGTATGTAGAAGATCTTGTATCAATATGAGACAAGCTCTTCTTTCTAAAATTATTACCTCACCGTGATCCAGCTTCTTACTTGTATACAACCTTTTTGTATGTACTATGCAGAAAATTAGATACATGGCTGTAATTGATCAGTGTCTGATAGGGTATAATGAATTCTCTTGTGCCTTGCTGTACTCTATCTTGAGAAAAAAAAAAAAAGAATCACTAACTCATGTTCAGTTTTTTGTTTACTGTCTCTAGGATGCTTTCCAATACAAGAGACTGAGTGGCTATACTCTCTTTGGTATAAATGCCCTTTTTAGAAGAAAATCGGACATAGTGTCTTCTGTTTGTCTTACAGAATTTCATTTTTTTCCTTTGGACCACTTATATTTCTACCATTAATTAGGAGTTCAGTCTTCAAAAATACTTAGGACTGCTTCTAACTGCAGATTTTATAGTTTTGTTTCATTGCGAAAGTTAATGAAAAGATTGAATAGAATCAACTCTGAGAACCAACCTGAAATGCCTGTTCAGTTTGAGTAGAGCAATATAGGAGATCTGATGGGAAAACTGACTTTTCAAAGAAGAATTAAAAGACTTGAGTCTATATAGTTAATGTAGAATAATGAACTGACATGAGAATGATGGAGGGAAAATACTATCTATGGCATAGGAACTATATGAAGGCAGTCAAGTGGAATTAAAAAAAAAAAGTTTTGCCATAAGCTTCCTGAACGTTCAAACATTTTGCTTTTTGCCAGCAGATATAGTGTGATGATTCTGATCTATGCTGTGAAATATTTTTGAGATTAGCCAATGAAATAATATGCTATATATACAATAAACTTTCACAAAAACCACCTGGTTTCCAGGATAGGGCAGCTGAGTGTCAGTGTGTGTTCTCTGTTTTTTATACCTTCTTCAAATTTCTGCTGTGCCAGGTCAGGGAAGTTTCCAGTTCTTACCATTTTTAAGAGGACAGTCCAAGCAATTGTTTTTAAGGTAATATTTCTGTAGTGAGGATTGACGAAAGAAAAGCAGTGTAGTACTATACACACACAAAAAAGATCAACTGGAAAAGTCTTTGAAGGTATATGAAACAAGAGAACACTGCAGAGCATGGACTTTTTAAAATTTAAATTGACTGACTTAAAATAGAAGTGAGTACCAAGATATTTCTTTAGTGCATGCGCTGCTTGACTACAAGCAAACAAACATACAGCTTATTTCTTCTCTACGGACTTTGTCTTTTGGCCATTTGGCAAAGTATTTTCCCTTTTATTTTAAACTTGTGCTATATTCACTGTGGTTATAACAGCATGTTAATGGTCTGTTAAATATAGTTCAAATCACCAGTGTGTTAATTCCATTGTTGTTTATAAGTAAGCATTCCTGTTTCTGTTTGTAGATAGGGCTGAAATCACGTGAGTTCATGCTCACGTGATTTAGCTGCCCTTCTGTACCTACTTTGTGCCTTGGTAAAGTCAAAAGTGGATAGCAAGACGGAAGCTGGGGAAAAAAGTTTGCCTTTAAAAGATCCAGGGCAAGGCTAGTCTAAATTTTTTTTTTAAAATAGCTCTTTTTGGATGCTCATTCTGTAAGCTGTGGTAAGAATTGTAGAAAGGAGTAGGTTTAAAGGCTACTTTTATTCTGAGAAGTATAGAGTTTAAAACCATAAACTAAGAAATGGTGATCTGTGTTAGCTGCGTACGCTCTCCAGTGTCTCAGCTGGAGACTGATTATCATTTTAGCCAGATGTTAATAGGAAATGAGTTAATATTTTCTATCAAAATGTTAACTTCCTCTATAGAAAATGTCACTTGTCAAAAGCATCTTTTCTTCATTTTACACAATCTCGTAGGAAACACCATGTTCAAATGCATTCAGTTTCATGTTTTCCCTGTGATTGCTATTGAAAGGATAAACTGTTGTCTCTTGATAGAAACAAAGGAGTGGTGTTAGGACTTCCTGTTGTTTTTTTTTTTTTTTTCTTTTTAATTGGTGCTATTAAAATTAAGCCCTCATTGGCTTTGGACAAATAGCTTTAACCTCTTTTATTTGATGTACCCTCTGATCTGTAGGAGCTGGGGAAGGGGCAGTAGTTACTATTTCATGTGCTAAGAAGAGTAAGAAACGAACCCTTTCAAATTTAACATTGTGTTTGGGATTTAGAATCGTTATCATCTATAAATCAACATAACTTGCTGGTGTGATTAAGTGCTGTCCTCCTTTTAACCTTTCATTTCATATTTAATTCTCACTGAGAGAAAAGACCTTTTAGAAGGAAGCTCCTTATTCTAAACAGCCACATTCTCTTGAATGCCTCCCATTGAGATCCCTTCTTTATCGTTCTGATGCGCAAAGAAAGGAGTTTCTATTATTTGGTTGCCAAAAAATACAGTTTGCATACTTCCCAGTCAAGTGTACAATTCATTAATCTTCGAGACTGACATTTATAGAAAAGGTGGATATCTTTTATAGGATAGGCAGTGTCTTTTGTTAGCCTGATGTGGCTGGAAAAGATGAAATTTTCTGACACCCAAGTTCTTCTGATTGGAAGTGGAAAAGGAGATGTCCTACCTGGTGCCAATTTTCCTTTTGCTTTGCCCAGCTGGTGATGGCTCCTCACCCTCTGTGCGCTTCCTAGGAACTCTGAGAACGTTATTCCTGAAGATCCCCTGGTACACAGTCACTGCAATGTTCCCTGGCCCGTGCCTTTCTGATTCCTAATCTTTACAGGGCATGATGCAGATTGAAGTTATCTGTCGGTAGGTGTAGCTGCCCAGGTCTTGTTGCTCTTGTAAAACCAGTAGGACAGAATTTGATCAAGTGAGTGACCCAGGAATACGTAAGTGGAGGAGAAGCTTTTGCTGGGGAAGCATAGGCTACTAAAAATGATACTAATATCCTTCATGGCAGCGATAAGCACAAAAATATATATGTTGGGATAAGAATAAAGTGTTTTAGAAATAAGCTCTTCAGGAGTACTAACAAATATTATTTTGGGAAAGGTCTAGAGGGCAGTCATAGAGGGACAGAATGTTTGGTAACAGTGAGGAAAAAGGAGTGGAGAATTCAGAAGGTTTAATGCTGCAAAGTGTCTATTGGCTGTGCCTGCTAACAACTAAAAAAGCAGGAACTGTGGTAGCCAGAGTACATATGAGCACAGGCTAGCTTCTGTGCTGTCCTCTTTACCCCTGCCATCCTGTGCCCTTCCCTTTTGTTTCCTCCTAAACCTACAAGCTGAGAAGAAAATTTTTACAGTGGACACCTTCCTATGGTTCCCTTTGATCTGCTCTGCATACACGTTCGAGTTCAGTACTTAGTGACTGAATGAGTCCTTGCTACGAAAAGGAAAATATTATTTACACCTTCTTTGTTTGTTTGTTTCCAGAACTAGTGACTTTTATTCTTGATATGAAACATTTTCATGAAGAGTATTTTAAGCCAAGTGCAAAAATCAGATACAGATCTCCTCGTGGTGTGGCTCATGTCTAAGTAATGATATATCTCTCACCATTCATAGCCACAGAATCATAGGATGATTAAGGTTGGTAAGCACCTCTGGAGATCGTCTGGACCAACTCTCCTGCTCAAAGCAGGGTCAGCTAGGGCAGGATGCTCTGGAGCACGTGCAGTCAAGTTTTGAATGTCTAGTCCAAGGGTGGAGACTCCACAACTCCTATGGGAAAGTTGTTACGGTGTTCATCCGCTCTCACAGTAAAGAAGTCTTTTCTTATGCTTAAACAGAATTTCTTGTGTTTCATTTTGTCCCTATTGCCTCTTGTTATTTCATTGCATACTACTGAGAAGAGTCTGACTCCATCTTCTTTCCTCCCTGCTGTTAAGTATTTATACACATGATAAGATTTCTCCCCCATTCCCCCTTCTCTTCTCTTGGCTAAAGAGTCCCAGCTCTTTCGCCCTTTTCTCATATGACAGATGCTCCAGTCCCTTTTATGTCCTTCCTATACTGGGGAGCCCAGAACTGGACCCAGTACTCCAGAAGTGGTCTAATCAGTGCTGCGTGGAGGGGAAGGATTACCTTCCCCCAACGTGCTGGCCATGCTCTTTCTCATGCAGCCTGGGATGCCATTGGCCACCTTTGTCATAAGAGCAATTGCTGTTACATGTTCAACTTGTCCACCGGGAACCCCAGGTCTTTCTGCACAAAGCCACTCTCCAGCCAGTCAGCCCCCAGCCTGTACTGGTGCCTGGGGTTGTGGTTCCCTGGTCTTCCTTTTTGTCCTTCTTGAAGATGGGAGTCACGTTTGTTTTCTTCTAGTCCTTGTAGCACCTGCAGAAGTTGCATAGGAAAATAATTTTGGGCAAATCTTTTTGGTAATCTTTAATGTAAAAATATTCCTGGGTGTGAAAGGGAACTTATTTCTCCTCTGGGGCATTTTTTTTGTTTGTTTTTCTGCAATCTGAATTCTGACAAGTAAAATGAAACAGCGTCTTGTATATTTAGTATGTATGTATTCCATCAATTTCAGTGTCTTATGCCAGGTTATAAGACTGAGTTTTCCCAAAATGAGTTTTCCTTTGAAGGAAAGGGTAGGAAGCTGCTTAAAGATGCTTCTCTAAGCTCTTCTGTAACACAAAGGTGCTTGGCAGTTTTTGGCTTTACTATTTGAAACACATCAAATAAATCAAGTAGGAGGTATATGGAGGTACGTCATCAACATAGTTGCTAAGTTAAACCGGCAGTATTGTCATACTTCTCAAAGCTAAAGGTAAACACAACTAATACAAATGTAACAGCCCTCCCTAAGAACCACATAACTCTGCTGCTAAGAGTTACCCCTTTTTTTCCTGTAAATGTGCATCTAAGTGCAGTGTCGATTAGAGTTGCATGTTCACAAAAAGGGAAAAATGACCCCTGTTGAGAGTAGGTGGTGGATTTTTTTTTAATTAACAAACCATCTGCTTCTATGTATACTGAAGACATGTTGAGTGTTTTCTTGAAAATAAGTGATAATTTGAGTCAAAGAACAGGTTCTACTGGCATCTAGTGCTTGTAACAGGATTAACCTATTTGCATATTTGAAGTGTTATCGTGACTGACAGAAATGGAAGTTTTTCTACCTTTATTCCTTGCTAGTCTTTTTTTTTTTCCAAGAAAGCTATGATCTTGTGCAACAAGAATACTTTTGTATTGATTTATATGAGGTGATGGGTCTTGTTTATCTTTTTGTTTTTCTTCGTTTTTTCAGTCATAACATTGTGAGTACGGTTGTGAAGGTCAAAGGTATGTTATTGGTAACGTAACTGGAATCAGTTGTAATTTGATTAAAAAATACAAGTTTATAGATATGTATTTTGTATGTAGGTGTACTTCGCTTTAAAACTTACAGTGGGGCAATGGATTACTGTTTCAAAGAATTTCCGCATACTTTTAAGCTATATCACTTGGCTAACGTGTTTCTTTATTGGCTGGAATGAGGCATGAGGTTACTTATCCAACATGATATATATATTATAATTGCTTTTTCTGGTTTTACATTTTAGGTCTAAAAATATTTGGAGAGAGATTCAATGGTTCAACAAGCAACGCTCTAATGGATGACAGAGAATTTCCACCAAATGACCTACAAGTAGACTCAAGGGGCAGTCGTCCTGCTGATTGTAGGGTGGAAGGTTTGGCATCTCGCTTGGTTTCCTCATCTGATGAAAATGAGAATCAACTTGACCACGATGGGAATGAGGTTCTAACCAGTAGTAACACTGCTATGGGAAGACAGGATGAGGGTGCGCAGGACAGCATCAATAATAATGAAAACGTGGACAGTGGAGACTGTACCCTAAGCTGTAAGGAAAGCGAGACTGAGAGGAGATCTGTAAATGTCCATGCGGACCCCCAGCTGGAGAAAAAGCCTGTTGCAGAAAAACAGGCAGGTGGAAAAAGAAGCCCAAGAAGCAGAAGAGGCTCCAGTAAAAAATATAAAGGTACTTTATTAAAATGTTGTTTAGTTTGCTTCGAATAATAAAGCTGTAGTTCTAATCTACGAACAAATAAGAAATATATATTTTAGTTGCCGTGCTGTTTTTAAATTTCACTAAAATACTCTTTTCAGAATTGTTAATCATACTAAATCGGATTAAATTTAATGTGTTCTGCATTTTTCAGTGTTTAAATTAGATATGTAGCAAATGGAACACATGAGGAAGCAAGAATAGAGAGAGGGGCACAGTTTCAGTGTGAAAATGTTACTGACTTCTGAATCATATAGGCAGAAATTCAGGCAATAGGTTTTTGATCATTTGAGTGCTCATATGCAAGATAATTTTGGTGTCTTGATACAGTGTCAAGATTTGAAATCTTGGCATCAGTACCAAATATTTTGATCTTGGCCTGCTGCTGTAAGAATTTACTTAGGTTTTTCGAAGCTTAATACATAGTTCTAGGATTTACATTTTGAGTAATGTGCTGTTCCACAAATCTGCTTCTGCAAATTTTTGATGTTATTTCTCCTTTAGATCTTTTAAATGAATTGGATAAGGAAAATGTAAATGTTTATTACATATTCTTATTTGAGATGTTTCTTTCCTTTGTGAATGAATAGGATATGTTTGCATGAACACAGTGTTTTACTGTATTAGGTTTGTGCCCTAGACCATAAGGCATATGTGTTGTAAGCGCTGCAAATGTATTCATTGAAATGAGTGTGTCTCATTCTTTTGGTATCTTTCAAGGTTACTTGGAGCCATTGAATCATACCTGTTTAGAAAATCAGAAGTATACCTTTCAACATTAAAATATTTAGTTAAAACAAGGAATGGTTGGAATAAGTAATTGAGAATCAGTCATCTGTGATGAGGGGAATAACAGAAAGCAAGTTTCTCAAATATAATACTGATGTGTGAACGGAAGTATCTGAGGCATAACGAGCAGAAGAAATGGAGAAATGCGCCCGAAAACTGAAAGTCTGTGCCCATATTCTCTCTTCCTTAGTTTGTATTCCTGTTGATAAATGCAAGCAACTGATGCAGAATTACCTCAAAACCAATTGTGCACAATAAATGGCAGTTTCAAGGCAAAATGTAGAAAGCTAAAATATGCAAAATTTGATGAAAAATCTAGAGACATAGAACACCATGACAGAGAAGAATGCCAGTATCTCGTTCAGAGCATGACAAAACTCTACAGAGTTTAAAACGGTTTTGCTGGGATTAAAAACTGAATCCCTACGAACAAACCCCGCTATTTTATTAGTAAAGAACCTTGACTGTTCCTGAGCCTCTGCATATAAGAACCAAACTACTTTCTCCTCCTTATACCAGCTCAGAGACGGAGAATAAAATAATCAAAGAGAGGGGAAGAGCGCATGAGCAAGTAGTTCAGTTCCCAGACTGAATACTTGCAGGGCATAGGACGCATGTGCTGCTTTTTTTTTATTTTTTAAACCTATTGAGACATCACAGATGAGTTGGCTTTGACTCGTAGCTGAAGAAAAGATTTATGAATCTTCTTCTCTTTCCCCATAAACAAAGCTGTTAGGGTCACTGTTTAATGTTGCCATTATAGAAAAGCTCATGTTTGACTTTAAAACTATGTTATTCATATTCCTTCTCTTACTAGTTTCTAAAGCAGTGAACTTGAAATATGGGAAACTTTTATTTGTTTTCATTTTTTCAGGACTTGCTCAGCAGGAGGTTGGTGGTCATTAGAGAAGTCTATCTTCCACTCAGGATACCTGTTTTTACTTTAGAGGAAAGAATGAGTAGTACCATTTGCGATATGTTTGAAAGCCTCTAAATGTTTGCTTTTAAGGCATAAACAGTTACAAGTATTTCATTAGTATGTTTCTGTATATGTTCAAAATGTGTTGAAGCTGTAATTATTCTAACTCTTAGAAGGAGTAGACTAATGCAGGATTAAGAATTGTTGTACCTGGTTGAAGATTGACCTAGTCCAACGTTCTGCCTCTGACAGCGGCCAGTAGAGGATTGCTAGGTCAGAGCATAAGGACAAGGCAAAGAAACTGTTTCGTTAGCGTGCTCTTGCCATCACCAGTTACCCGTTCAGGAGTTGCCCAAGAGAGAAGTGATAGAATTCGCGGACTTCCAGTGAATTTGTCACCTAATTTACAAGTTTTTTTGAGTCTGTTTAAATACTAGCATTTGTAGTGTTCTAGAGCAAGTAGTTTCAAGATTTTTAACTCTATATTTTTTGAAGAACCTCCTTTTATCTGTTTTGATGCTCCAGCAGGCATATTTGAGTGAATTGACAAGCTTATTGCTTCAGAATCCCACATTTCTCTCACATTCTTCTTGTATGCTAACTAATACTAATTTTGAATAGATTATTATTTTATCTGTTCAAGGAGGACACTGATGATCAAAGAGGTGATGTAACTGTAAATTGAAGAATTTGAGCTTTGTTAATTACTAATACTCGAATTCCTTTTAGTGAATCCTACTAGATTCAATGCAGTAGCAGTAATGATTCATCTGATTACAATATACATTTATAAAGGTGGAACTCAAATGATTCCTGTTCTCTGAAAATAAGTTTATCTTTTTCTGAAAGATCAGCCCTGGCATAGTTGGTAACAATGTTATGAAATCATACTGTGCAATTCACCAACGTACTATATAGCATGGTGGTTTGCAGTTAATCACCTTTCCCCAAGTTAAATTCTGCAGCATATACTTTTCCTGAAAATTATTCAGCTTCTTTCTGTTGCAGCTTGAGGATGGCGAGGAAGGAGAAGTGGTTAGGATGGATTCAGCTGTTGCAGCAATGTGCCAAATTGTATGAAAAGCCAGGCAATGTCATCTTTCTTAAGGTTCTGTGCTGTGCCAAACAAGATTTTGAGCTTGCTCTGCTAGAGATATACCTCTACTTATCTGTATCGCTTTTTTTCCCCCCAAGAAAACTCCTATCTTAAAAATTAAATATTTTTGAAATATTTGTTAGTCTTTTGAAAAAAGCAGTCTGAACCAGCTTTCTGGTATTAAAAAAATTTAAAATATATATATATTTTTTTTCCTGTACCAGCAGCTACTGTCACTAGTGGGGGACTAATGCTATTGAGTGTAACAATTAAATTTCAATTAGAAAACAGAGGACAATATCCATAATTTTATTTTGATAGCTTTATTTCATAGCGAATATTGCATACTTGCACTTCTCACTCATTCTCAGGCAGGTAGCAAGGGCACCTTTATTTCATATATCTGAAGCACTGACAAAACAATAAAAAGTGAAACACTGAGAAATTGTTTGTCTTGTTTTTATTCATAAGTTCTGTTTGTTAAAATGGGATCTTTTTGCAAGTGTGGTGCTGCTTCAGTGGAACTCTTAAGAAAACTTTGAGAAAGTCTAATTCCCCCCATAGCCTAGGAATTATTGTCATACTAACTGGGCATTGAAACGTTAGTTGAAACTTCTACTAGGAATCTGGCAGACTTGAACTTAGGTCTGTGTTATATTCTGAGTGAGTGCTCTGACCACTAGGTAGTAGTAATCTTCTGCATTTTTCCACATTTATTTTCATAAAGACTTTGATTCTGTTCTAGTATGGAACAAGATGGTTTTTAATATCAATATTGTGCCAAGTGAAAAAATTTCAGCTTTGATTCTTAAAATTTGAGAAGGATACATGAATCGCCTGCCTTTGTTAAAAAGTAATCTGCTGTGAGCAGTAAAATTGATGGATTCCAGAAAGATGCAGTGTCGTGTGCCCTTTTTTTAGAAACAGAGAAGAATGGGCGAATGGAAAAACAAAATAAAGAGGGATCTTAGCCCCTAACACCTTTATGATGAGAGAGCGTTACTAAGCGTTATTTCCTCGAGAAAAGTTCCAGGTTATAGTACTATTAAGGCACAGATGCTGTCTTCAGCTTAAAATAAAATAAGATAGAAGTAACTTGAATGACTGTAATGGGTTGTTTCAGAATTAGCGGAGTAAGTTGAGGGCAGAATTTATTCCAGGTGAGTCACAGCACAACTATATGTAGGAATAAAATGCAGTTTATAAACTATTTGTTAACAACAGTACCACAGTAATTTTAAAACAGAGTTTGTTATGGTACTTGCTATTGAGCATGTTTCAAACATCATTCGTATTTTGATGTTACAGATGATCGTTAACCGCTTAATATAGTGCGTTTTGAAGTGTCATTTTTTCTGAGACAAAAGGTTTGCTGAAAGATTTAGACCCTCCTTTCTGGTTTCATGATCATGGGCTGTACAGCAAGTTGTTGTTTTGAACACAGCCTTGATTCCATCTCTAAAAACACTTCCCAGTCAATATCCCACAGCCAGTTATGTCTCTTGTTGCTTCAGGCCCACGGCAAACAGGAGTAAATACTGGAAAAGCGGCGACATAAATTAATACCGGAAAAGCAATGTTAAGTTACACCCATATTTTGTCTGGCCATAAGACCTGCAGAATAACCACCCATAGAGATTATTAGTACTCCTGCTCTGGATAGTTTACTTGATAAAGAATTTATAATAATGAAAAGCAGTGATGGAGTTCTCAGCAGACAAGTGAATACCTTTCTGAACCTTAAATCTTAAGCCTGAATCATCACTCTAGGGTTTCAGTTAAAAGGAGCACAAAGGGGTCTGAAATATGCTGAGTAAGCCATAGAAACAGAGCCAAAATCTGATGGTTAGAGAATGAGATAGTAATAGGTTAACTTGAAATGCTGCCCCCACCTGTCCTGCTTTTGAATGTTAACATGATTTTCAGAAAATGAGCTTAGCTCAGGAAAGAAGACATACTCATCATAACCTGAGTTTACAAGTTCATCAGGCACATTTCAGTGTTCTTGAGTTTTTATCACCTATGCAGGTTACTTTTTAGATGTGGTCTAAATAATTTTTAAGGCAATGTAAACAAATTTGAAATTCCAAAAGTATAATTGCCAGGACTAGAAATAGCCACGGAAACATTAGTGGCATTACTCTTTTTCATTTGTTTGTATTTAATCCTTTCCTGTGCTTTAGTTGCATCAGTTTTATGTACAGGATTGGGATTTTAATTAAATCCAGGGGATATTGCTCTTTTCCTTAGACAAAACTCAGAATTTGTTTTTGGGGAAATGTGAAAACTTCAGCATTTTTTTGCTCCAAATTGGAGATAAATTTCCCAATTTCTTGCAAAATTGATCCTGGTCATTTCAGAAACTCTTGAGATGAGAAGGTGTGCTGCTTTATTTACATTATAAACAAGATGTGCTTTTATACAGAAAGGTTTTAAACAGTGTCAGTACCGACTGACCTTAATAATTAATTTTACCAATTGTTTTATGTCCTGTCATATTTCTTGGTAACATGAAAGTTATGCGCTACCCTGATGTGTCATGTTCTGAAATAATACTGATATTTTAACAGATCTCTAAATTGATTTTTAAAATTCTGGTTTTATTATTTTTTTAATTCTGCCTTATGTAAATGTATCAAATTCAAAATGATTTTGTGAAAAAATAATTTACGTTCATGAATTTGAGGGATAAACTACTTTTAAGACAGAGTACACACCAGCTCTCTGTTAATACAGAGTGTTCTGTGCTGGCAAACTATACCTAACGTGATCTCAGCTTTGTATACATAAAGCTATGTTTTGTGCTAAAACCATTCCAATTAAAGGAACACATTTGAAGGCGCTTTTACGGATCTTTTTGCTAGTATAACTGTCAGTGAAAGATTATATCTCTCAATACTGCTAAGTAGTAGTGTCATCACAACAAAGCTTGTAGCATTGTCTTAGTTTCGTTTCCAGGGTAGTCAGTTCCTGGCCTTTTTGCTGATTCTTACAGGAGATGGTCTTAAAAAATAAGAACTGCCCTGCTGGGCCAGACCAGTGGTCCATCTAGCCCAGTCCTTGGTCTCTGACAGCGGTTATGGGAGATGCTATTTAGGGAATGTGTGTAAGCTTGATCACTTTTTGCAGCCCGTTCCGCTCATACTTCCCCAGCATCTAGAATTGCTGTATTATGGATGTTAGGGGGTACATCTCCGCCTGCTGTTTTTAATAGCCATTTATGAAACTTTTGTTCATCAGTCTGTCATTTTGAACCTGCTGAGATTGTCTGCTTGTACTGTGGCAGCAACTTCCAAAAATCCTTGCCAGTAGTAGGAAGTGTTTTGCTTTTTTCTTATCCTATTTTAAGTGGTTTTCTACTAGTTTAAGCAAGTAATGTCAGGTTTGGTGAACAGTCCATTCAGCGTATCCTGCCTTATTATCTTACACGTCTCAATCGTATCCCCACTTGGCCTTCTCTTCTCCAAACAGAAGAGTTCAGACTTACTAGTTTCTCTTCATGAAGCATAACTCATAACTCTGTCCTTTAATCATTTTAGTTGCCTTCTCTGTACCTACTCTAATCCTCTATACCAGTCTTGAGATACAGAGACTAGAACTGCGCACAGTACTCAAAATGTGTGCATTCCAAGGCAACAAAATTATTTTTTCTATCTTGTTCTCAGTACCCTTCCTGGTGATGCCTCATGTTTTGCTGAGTTTTTTGGCTGCTGCTGTACATAGGCTGATGTTTTCACAGAGCTGCCAGCGATGACTTCAGCATCTTTCCTGAGTTATATCTCCTGGTTCCAAAATTGGTACTGTACAGGCATAGTTTAGATAATAACTAAACTATGATTACTAGATTTTCTTGCATGTTTTACATTTACCTACATTGAAACTCATCTGCCACCTTTTTGTCCACTCAGGTTTTTGAGGTCCTTCTGGAGTTCCTCACTATTTACACAGCATTTGGTTACCTCAGAGAGCTTAGTGTCGTTTGCACAGTTTGAGACTTCACTGATCATCAATGACTTGGAGAAGGAAGTGACGATACTGAGTAAAAATCATCCCCATCAGTCCCTGGAGAATCCCACCACTGACCTTCCTTTATCCTGAAAAAGTGCTCCTTAAGCCCCACTTTCCAGTCTTTTAAGAGTGTCTCCTGTAGTCCTTTGGCATATTAGTTTCTTTAATAGCTTTTGGTAAAGAGTGTTTTTAAAGGCTTTCTTGGAAATGTGTGCACCCCCTGGATCTCCTTTATCCACATTTATCGACAGCCCCGTAGAATACCAGCAGGTTAGCAAGGCAGGCTTTCCCTTCACAGCAGCTATGCTGACTTTCCCAACAGATCAATGTCCTTTCATGTGCTCTGTGATTTTGTATGTTAACAGACTCCAGTGACTCCTTCCAGATCTATAGTCCCTGAGATTTCTCAAGAGCCACTTTTTGTAGATGTCGTGCACTAGTGATCCATCGGTCCTTAGATGGCCCTTTGTAATAATGGGTTGCACACTTGGCCAGTAGTTTCACAGTTAAAATTATTTGTATTGCGGCCCTGCTAGGTCCTGGATTCTGTGCTATCCATGACCAAATCCAGAATGACGTCACTTCTGGTGGGACTTAAGACTAGGGTCTAGGAAGCCATCATTTATTGCTTTCAGAAACTTTTTTTTTCACCCTTGGTACACCCTTAGGCCAATTTGCCCCATCGAACTCCCAAGCACTCTCCTAGAATATGTGGCCACTGCTAGAGTGACGTCTGCTGATCACACAAACTGCTCCCAGCCTTTCTGGAGCCCACTGTTCTTTCTCTTCTTCCTTATGCCCTTGTATGAACCAAACTGTACTGTGAACGACCCTGCTTTCTGTCTCTCTCTGTTGCATCAAAAAATCATCGGATTTTATGTGGAATTCTATCCGCTCAGACCTGAATTTTAAGTATTGGTTTTAGCTGATGCAGCTGTAATATCAGACACAACCCTTTATTTTAGGTCAGCCTGATCTCTTATACTTCTGTAGAACAGTTTAGGGTGTGTTTTTTTTTTTTTTTAAGTTAAAGTTGGATCCCAGTTAGAAGTATACAAAAATAGCTGATGATCTCTGTATGTTTTTTCAGGTAGGTGAGTTGACATTGAGACAAATCTGTTACAGCTCATTTTGACAAGACCAATATTTTATCTACTTGCAGGGATGTTATTTAAGATATGTTTTTATTTAAAGCTTTTGTATTGAAAATTTCCTAGAAACGCAACTTGATATGTTTTTGAATCCTTACCTAAGTACTTGTTCTTTTTAAAGGAGTTCCTTCAGAGGGAACCACAGCAATCAAGGAAGAAAACACTCTTGTTACAGATACAGATTCTGTGCATGCTGAAGGTGCTGATGAAGCAAATGAAGACTCTCATCAGAAAGAACAGACACAAACATTGCAGTCCCTTTTCTCTTTGCTCCGTGAACAGGTTGAACAGAGAGATTCAAAGATTCTGCCTCTTTGTCTCCATCAGGTACTTGCTATGTATCTCGGTTGTCTAACTTTGTTTTTATTTGAGATCTTTTTTCATTAGGAAAAAGATGCATTACTTCAACATGTGTTAATATGCATATCTGGACAGGGTAATTTGCAGTTTTGGTATATAAAAGGTGGTCGAGGCACGTATCTCCACTAAGATTCTCTAATATATGTTAAAACTAAAAATTGCCTTGAAAGCATATTCTGCGGTAGAAGAAAACTCTGAAATTCTTTCTATGGCATCTAATATATTTTGAAACAGACTTTTCTTGTCCAGGCAAGGATTTTGACAGTATTAGATTTTTTCCCCAGATGATGAAATTATAGAGGATGGCAGGAAAACTTAGGAAAATCGCTCTTGAAAGTAGCTTAAATATGGTTTGTAGACATTGGTGTAAAATATGGGACAACTGATGGCTAAATCTCATTGTAAATCTGGAATTATTTTTACTGCTGCATTCTTCTGTCTAGCATGAACTTAATACATGAATGTTAAGATGCAAGGTTTTTTGGTGTATACTTTTTATAGCACGGTCACCATCTCTGCAAGGAAAAAGGAAATCGTCTAGGATTTGAAAAGTATTCTCTTTTTACTAATTGGCAAGTATGTTTTTATTTCTGGAGACTGTGACGGAAGATGGATATGCAGATAGGATTTCTTGCACTATTAATAGATAGTTCAGTGGTGACAGACTAACTGCAGCAGAAGAATTTTATTTGGCTATAGTGTCTAATATAGGTTATTTGATTTGACAAAGTTGCATTATCTTTATTATGAAAAACTGGATGGCTGTTATCATTTTAAACTTTATGCTGTGATGACACTCCTGCAACCTTATTCTCTGTGATATAAATAAGAGGCGGTGTTTGAGAGAGAGGCTTCTCTTAAGTGTAACAAATTACGGGTACTTAACATTTGATGTAGAATTTTTTTTTCTCAAAATTTTTGTTTGAGTGAAGTTATTTGCTACAGTTCCTTAACTTATTTGAAACTTAGCATTAAGGTTAGCCATTTGCCTTTGTAACCAGGTGTAATTTGGCGGTCGTTCATGAGTCAATACAAAGGTCTGTGCGGGAAGACACACATACATCATACAGTTCATGCAAAAGTCTCAAAATGCTTTACAAACATTAAGGACGTTATCATCACCAATGTAGAGATGAAATCCGTCTGCTGCTGTACAGACGAGGAAGCCAAACCACAAAGGGAACAACTTTTTTCAGGGTCCTACAGGAACTGTGACAGAACTGAGAATAGAATGGGGTTTCCAGATTCAAAGATGTTAAAGCATCACCTTTTTTTTCTTGAAAATATTAAGCCATTTCTAATGGAATGTTTGAAAGAAAGCTAACAGAACTTACGAGGATCACAGTACACATTTTAATCTGGGAGAAAATACAGAATCTGAAAGATAGCATTCGTATTGTTATGTGAAATGGATTCTAGTAAGAGCTTTTTTTTTTTTTTTTCCTTTCCCGGTGGTTTAATTTGTCATTTTCAGTCTTATCCCAGGTTACTAATAAAACCTGCCAGTAACCTCCTTTTATGTTAAATTTGGCAAATATTCTTGTATCATATTCTCATTTTACTCTGTGTGAGAGAATGCAATGTAAAATCAAGAGCTATATCAGATGTTCTGGACTATTAACATTCAGCATGGTTAGGGAGAAGTCTGCATTAAATATTTAAAGGCTTTAGGATATTAGGGTCTATCCTAGGGTTATCTTTTAATTAAAATATGATATAACTTTTTTTCCAGTCTTGTATGAGATCCATGTGTGATTTGTTTAGCATTTAACTGTTTACAGATTGTAAAAAAATGTTTGTATATAAACATAGATCAGAGTTTCTTTGGCAGCTCCAGAAATCCTTAGCAGGCTTCTTGAGGTAACAGACAAAATATGCAAAAAAGAGCTTTAGAAGTCACTTACCAATTCCCTTTTGAAGGTGCTGGACTCAGAATGGTCTTATGGTTAGTAATAAGACTGAGAGTCAGCAATACCCAGCTTGTAATTTAGAACGGTCTATGAAGTTGCCGTCTCTTTTTGAGCAATCAACTTCAGAGGTTTTGCAAAGTGCCCATTTATTGTTAAGCCCTTCAAGTTCCGAATGCCTAAATTGGTGCGGCCAAAAGATTCTGAGACTGTGAATGTTTGTGTGCTCCACAGAAGCCTTTGGAGTATCCGCTATGAGGTGTCTCAGCCTGAACATTCAAATATCACCTACCTGCGGTTACTGGACGCTTTTTGAAAACATGGCCCTTGCTACGCCACGTACAGCAAATAGGCAGATTGCCAAAATTCATTATCGCTGAGGATTGATCAGTTAGTGCTTGTGAAGGTCTATGACATTGTAAAGAAGTTCTGTGAGACAAAATGTTTTCCTTTTTGAGGTTTATAGTCTGTGTGTTTTATTCCATTTATAAGCAAAGCCTTCTTGTATTCCCCAGCTCTCTGGGAAAGTTTGCCCTGCTTTCGGACTAGCGAAAAGATTCTTATTGTTGCAAATCTCAAAGATTATTCATCAGAAGGAAGGAGTGAGGAATAAGACATTTCTGTTACCATGTTAGCTTTTCTCTCCAGTGTGACACCTTTTAGTTTCCAGAAATCAGCTGTATCTTTTCTGTAATACTCCTTACCACCAAGTCAAGAGTCAAAGTGAAGTCCTGTTTCTATTTAGAAACACACTCATTTTCTGACTGTCTTTGGATGCTTACTTGGTCTGAGCTGGTTACATGGACTGTAGTACAATGATGTCTTTGCCCTTCAAATCCAAGAGATAATCCTTTATGCCATTTCTGAAACAAAACCAAATAATTTAACCTGATTAACACAGGAAGAGTTTTTCTAACAGGCACCTACATTTTTCTTCCGGAAGTTCTGCTGCTTCCGTGCTAGCAGTTTTGGCTTTGAAAGAGCTGGGTATAGCAGGCAAGACAAAAGCATCACAAGAGGAGGGCAGTGTATCTGTTTCAGTAACCTGCAATTGAAATATGCGGTTTTGATATATTAATAACTTGGTATACCAGAACAATTTTCTTTTCTGTTTGCATGCCTAAAGTCTTGGTATGGAAAACTTTTTACTGTATTAGCCCCTGGTGAGCATGTATTAACTGTTCCTTTTTGCAGGGATCTGTTAAAAGATAAAAGTTGTAAAATTACCAAACCAGGTTTGGTAAGTTGTTAAGATGTCACAGACAGACAATGACAAGTGCTTAGGTATAGAGATCCCATGTTCGGTTCCTAGCCATGGGCTAATATGCTAGCTGTTACAGAAGCATTTAGCATTACCTTACATATTTCATTGACCTAGAAGTGCTAGAGATTGACTTATACATTTTCATATGTTCCTGTGAAATATTATTTCAAAACAGTCTTCCCTGTGTTGTGCTTTCCTGATCCTCAGTAACTTCTTTGGAATGATTTTTGTTTTCCGTATTAAACCTCCTTAACACTTTGACCTCTCTATGGCACAGGCAGAGTTTGCTTATTTCTTGTGGAAACTCTGGTAGTTTTTTGTTTTCACATATCTGTATTAATTCGACATCCATCTAAGAGAAACAAATCTTGGAGAATTGTCAGGGCTTTTAGGGTTTTTTTCCCCCAATGTTATTTGGCAGAGCTGTCTCTTTACAAACCCAATTTTAGTTGTTCTGTTAGAGAAATGTCAGTTTAAGGAGGAAAAGCCTCCGATGTTTCCATTTCATAACAGCTACAGTGCAAAGTAAAGAACTGCCTTCTGGCTTAATTCTGTGACTTGCTCTATTGGTGAAGAGCTTCAGGTATTAATGTGTTTGGCTTAGTGAACTGACACATGAAATACAGGATCTTTAATTCTTTTGTAACCCAGAGGAGCAGCTTCATGAAAGGAAGCGGCAGAAGGCTGCTGGAACAGTATTGTCTAGATTCTGCAGCTGCACTAGGAGTAATTTTTGTAATTTTGCCAATTTTTGTAAGTCTGGCAGTATCTGTTGGGAGACGTCTTAGTCTTGTGACACATGTGAAGCTCTGTTGTGTAGTTTTAAGCAAACTATTTGCCTTTATGGCTTCAAGATGATTATCTTGGGCATGTGACTGGCGTGTAACTAGGAAGTCACACCCAAACAACTTAAATGACCCTTTAAGAGAAAAAAGAAATTGAATCCTGAATTGAATTGATGAATTTCAAATAGTTAGAATTCGATATATGATAAGGGGATGCAAACAGGAAAGTTGTTGGTATGACTCTGAACTTGTCATGGGCAACATTTTTAGGGTCTTTGATCCAAAGCTTGTTCTTTTCTCCTCCATCAGGAGATCTCCACTGCTCCCTTTTATTACATTGCACTGCAGTGCTCAAGAGAGCTCAGCAACGATCTTACCTCTTTCAAACATAAGGAAGTAGCAGTCAGTAATAGAATACAAACTCTTCAACCTGCCTCATTTTCAATAAACATGATACTTGTGTTCTAGGTCATTTTAATATTTTATAATATCATCACTCAAAAATTTGCTGAAATAAATGTTACTATAACAAGATAAAAACCAACTAACGTTTGGGCAAGTCCATATGTGTGAATGGACTTACTATTTGTATGTTGTTTGATTTTTCTTTTGAACATCTTTCCTAGAATAAGGATACATGCATTTAGTCTGAACATTTGATTTTTTTCTATAAACTAAATATGGATCTGCAAAACAGATATTTAAAACGAATTCATATTATACTTTTATCGCTATCATAAAAATTAGAGAATCCTAATTTTTCTCTTTTTTCCTTTACAGATAGCTGAGACCTATTTTCAAGAGGAGGAATGTATCCTTTTACTTGTAAAAATTGATGTGCATTATTAAAATAATCTGGCATGATAAAACATAAAGAAAATACTCTGCCATTGACTTACACACTGTGGATCAGGTTAGGAAGAAGTCTACAGCTGTGGTTTGTCTGTGAGTGAACATACCGTATGTTAGCTAGTCTTAATCCGGCTCATGGAATATGAGTTAAATAATAAATGTACTTTCAAAAGCTGTGCTGCTATAATCATTAGTAGTTGTGCACAAACAAGGAAATAGGAACATATTTTCAAAGAACACGCTTCATAGGAAAAAATCTGTTCTAACAATTAGTAACCAGGAATACATCCAATCTAGATAAGATATGTTTTCTATTATATAAAACAGGGCACCATTATAGTAAGAACACCCTTATGATAACTGTGGATTAGAATATGTACTGTTAGTGTCTAGACTAGAATAAAAATACCAAATACACTGAGCTAAAGGAGAACAGCGATCACCAAACAGTAGCAGCATGTTCTTTGTCAGTTGCTTTATTAGTCAAAAATCACTTCAAAATAGTCTGAGAAACTGTCACAGGAAACTAAGGCTAATTGTTTCTGGGAACAGCTGGTTCAATGGCACAGATAAGAGGTTATTTTGATTTGTTCCGAGATAATGCAAACAAATTTGGTCAAAAAGTTAATAGTAGTTGAACTGCTAATAATTACTCTGATACATTTCAGTAATTCTGGAGGAGAATGATCATATTAAACCTTAAAGTGTGATTATATTTTTAGAAAAGGTGGAGCAGGTTTTGGTCTGTTTGCTTTTAAAGGAAGCTGATTAGAGTATAAAAAGAAAAGGCAAGAGTGGTAGCCCTTAAGGTATATGTGGTTCACTAAGGTACATCATAGATTACAAAATTTATGTTTACAGATTATTTGTTTATTATATCATTTATTTCCTTTGTAAAAACAAACAGAAAGGAGCAAACAGGCAATCGTGGGAATTAAATAACATGGCATAAGAAGCCCTGAAAGATATCCTTCCAAAACTGAAATCCAGCCAAATTATATTACAAAAACAAAGACAATAACTATGAGATTATTATAAAAGCAATATATAAAATAAAATATCCATCACTGTCTCAAAAGACTATACTTCTGCTTTGGTCATCCCAATTAAAAAGCATCCATCAGAAAATACAAAGACTATAGTATAAATGTGAGTAATGGAAACATGTTGTAGCGGATTATGGCTCTACATGGGGAAATACAATTGATTTAAATTGCATTCAACAGTATGATAGAAAGACAGCTTCTCTTTCATAGAAGTGGCTTGAATTGAAGGGCGCTGTATTTAAAGCTGATCAAGGGAATTATTTTTTGATGCAATATACACCTAATGTGTGGAATTCAACACTACTATATAATACATATTTATGAAAAATATCTCCTCTGTTCTTGCAACCATCAGTTTCCTGCGGTTAAACTAGAACTTATTTGATCATTTTGCATTGTGTTAATTATCCATGACAGGCGTTTTAATTCATCCACTGTAGAAATTCATATTAATAATAATTTGGGGACTGTTACTGTTATCCTCTAAGGCTCTGTCTGTGATCTGTAATTCTGTTTCTAATAACAAATTTCCTGAAGGCAAAAGAAATATTCTTTCCATTAATATCACTGTGTATAAGCTGTGCTGTCTGTGTGTTGCATGAGGCTAACAAGAGCAACAAATACCACTTCTGTTTCTGTAGCAGTTACTCCAGTATATTAATTAGTATGAATAATGGAAAGTATTTTTTCTACGTTACTAAGAGCCTAATTCACTGTAGTTTTATCCCCACTGTACTGCAGAATTAAATTTGAAATGAGTAGCAGAACGTGGCTTTAAACAGAACAATTAACAACTTAATTTTGGTGGAACTAGAATTATCCTAAACTATTACAAAATAGATAGCTACCAGGACACCTTTATGAATATATTGCTAACCCAAGGGGGGGAGTAGAAAGGGTTGTTCGTATTGAGGAAGAGTAAGCATAATCTTCATAGAAAAGACAAAAAAGATAAAATGTGAACTCAGCTGTCAAACAGTTTTATATACAATAGTTGAAAAGGTGTCTTTTGAAAGTTTGAGAGGGAAAATTGTTTTTAATGTTGTCTCCAACTGGTCAGTAAAAAGGAGCCATGTTTTCAATTAGTTCCCATTATTGACATATAATTGTATTTCTTGATAGATATATGCTTGTATTTAGGTAATTGTTTTACTTTTCATTTTCCAGAGATTTCATTTTCAAAAATAAAAAAAAAAACCCTAGCTGCGTAGTATCATTTTGCTGGTTTCTTTTCTGGAAAAAATACTATTGTTAGGCTCAAGGTATGTAGGAAGAGGTAACTGCTGAAGACAGTAGGTCCTTGGAACTTTTTTCAACTCTTGTTAGTTCTTATTTGCTGTGTTCATACCTGCTATTGTTTTTTTTGCCTGCACGGAAATCTGGATGCTAGCCGCAAGATTTTCCCTATTTGTTTTGGTTCAGTTACATAGTGATTGTCTTTTCAAATGTGATATCAAATATAAGTAAATCGTAATAAGTCGATGCATGTGTGTATTTTTCTTTAACCTTTCATTCAGATGAGAAGGCAATGAAATTCATTCAGCTGGAACGGCTGTATCATGAGCAGCTGCTGGCAAATCTTTCTTCCATACAGGAGCAGTGGGGTGAGTACAGCCTGGACTAATATTGTAGGAGGAAGAGTTAGCTTGTTCTATGTTTCTACATCATAGACCATATGTTTTGCCAGCTTAAAACTGTTACAAAGCAAAAGTAGCATTTATATCAGAATTTCTCTGAGCTTGTTATGAGAAAAGTATTTCTTCTTTGGGTTCCATGAACAAGTTGCAAATAGTTGATCATTCTTTATGCTAATTAAGTGAGACTTTGATTAATCCACAGTTATTTTGTACTTATTTTTTATTTTAGAGTTGGTGAATCTGGTGTGATGAAAATAAACTGTACTGTAATAAAATATGATACTTTTTCCGTAGTCTGATACAAGGTTATGGAGCATACGCAGAAGAGCTCTTAATGTTTTTCCATTTCTTACTTTAATGTGGAAGTTTTCTGTTAAATAAATATTAATTTTAAAGCACTTTGAGTAAAAATGTTTTTTTGATTAAATTTAGAAAGAAAATGGAAAGCAACAGTTCCTAGTCCAGTTACAGCAGTGAGGAATTCAGCTAAAGAACTGAGCAATGAGGAGCTGGAAAAGCTTGCCAAAGTTTGTTCTTCGCATCGACAGTAAGAATATGAAAATATTACTACTTTACTGGTGCTAGTATGTTAGCGCAGCTGTCGCCTACTTACTAGTGTAGGTGTTTTAAAATAGTTGATCCCAAAGTACAAGTTGCATCCCATTGACTTCAGTCAATTTAGTTATAAAGCAGTGGCTGGTTTTGATATGTAATAACAATGTTTCAATTACCGTCAGTTTTCACAGTGAATTAATATGATTTGAGAAATTTATAGGGACTAGAGCTGAACTAATTGTTTTCAGCAAATCATTGTTTTGCCAAAAATTGAGTGAGTTTGTGGGTATTTTCAGCAAAAACAAAAACTTAAGAACAGATAGAGCGCAAAACTGACGGTGGTGCTTGTGTCTATAATCCCTATTCTTTTAATCGTTGTTTTAAAATACAATTGCCTAGCACCTCAGACCCCAGCGCACCAATCTGCCCTATGGGATTTTATTCCCGAATCTTCTGTATTTTAGGACAATTCCCTAACTGTTATGCTTTAAGTACTGTGGGGTGTTTGTTCTCGTGGTCTTCTGTTGAGTTTATATAGTCTAGTTAAACATTATGAAGCAGTGATTCTGTAGTTTGCTAGTGAGGCAGTCTTCTGAAAGTGAAGAGATCTTAGTTCATACCTGCTTTGTCTGATTCAGCAGCCTCCTGACAGTGTATATAGCAAACTTTTGGACAGTGCTGAGAGTGCTCTTCTGGATATAACAGATACGGGCTTGTACATCGGGAAGGAGAAGTGATCTGAATCAAGATCTGTTACGTCACGGGTGAATGCCCTGTTTACTGGGTTCTGGAGTGTAAGGGACAGATGAAAAAAATACTACTATCTACTTCTGAAAAATGACCAGCCAACAATATTTGAAGGCTGTGGAAAGACGGACCCATGACAGAGAGGTGCCAGTCAGATGGAGAGAGAGAACTTTTCCAAATATGTTTGCATTGGCTTACTCAGTCTGGATGTAGTAAATGCCAAAATGCTCCCATTCTTGATAGAGAGTATAATTTGACTTCAACACATTTTCCCTGTACAGGAAGTTCTTCCCAGTACAGAAGGTGGAAAACATCCAGGTTTACTGTCAGAATCCAGGCTGAGCTTGTTTGCCTGTAGCCTGAATGCATTTGGGAGGGACCTGCTGGGAAATATAAACCTGCAGTTCCTCAGGAGGGAGAGAGGCAACTCCAGCGCTGTAGCTGCACGTTTGCACTTATGGCCGGCTAGTGAGAGAACCCACTGAGTGCCTGCACGGTTCCTTAACCCACATTTCATTATACACGACCTTGCAAGCTCGCAGAAAGATTAAGTTTCAAGTGTGTTACGATTTATGTGCTTGCAGCTAGCAGCACCTCCCTCGGCACTGAACTGTAGAGAACCTTGTAGAGAACAGCTCTGCTTTCTCCTTCTAATTCGTCCATGCAATCTCACTTTTAAATAGAAAAACGCAGTTAACGTTAGCATCGTTCTTTTTTTCTGAGGAACCCTGCAATTTGATCAAAATTGAAGGTTGTGTTTGTTTGGCATGACTAATTCTCTCTGTTTATTATTGCTCTTCCAAAACTCTCTAGAATCAGCCAAAAGCCTATTTACTTTTATTATTTCATATTTTTTCTAAGCTTTAAACTCAATTTACTTTGTAATTAAAACAGTACTTCCATTTTAAATAAATAATGCGGGTCTTGGCAAATGTGAGCATTTTGCTTTTGTGATTGAAAGCAATGTATCTTTTTCTAATGCTCAAGGTCTGGAGCTACGTACTAGAAACCTTTACTTTAAAGAAAGTTTTTGGTGTTTCGCATTTAAAGTTTAAAGTGCAAAATTTAGAAGTCAATGAAAGTTTTAAAACGTTATGTTAGAGAGTATGAGTGTCTTTTCCCTCTTATCTCTCCTTGCTTTCTTTCATGATTTTTTTCAGTAGCTTTATGCAAAATGCTCAGAATTTTCTCTTCGTTGCTGTATGAAAGGCTACAATACAGACTGTGCGTGATAAAACAGACTGTGCGTGAATCTCTACATGGTTTGCAAAGTCCACACTAGCGGACTCAGCACTTAGCAGTGTTGAGTCACCTGTGAATCCCAGAGAAATCAACAGGAACTGCTAAATCTTTCAGTGCCCAGAAAATGTATCCTACCATAAACAGTCCATGAGGAGGGAAAGAAGTATTTCTTTCCTCCCTAAATCTCTGTTACAGTCATCAATATTTTTAATACTAGTAGATACTGTGCTCTTACGTGATTTTTAAAGATGGTAGTGCACCTTTTAGTATAGGCTTTTACAGGAATTCAGATCACTTGATGTGTTGCAGTAACTTCTTTTTAAGTGCTTTCTCAATTACGCGGACAGTATTTGTGCTAATTGGTACAGATCTGTGCTTGAAACTACGCTCGCATGCTGATTGTGTTTCAGTGTTAGAAATGTTCTGTGCTAATATTAGAACAGAGAAAAGACTAATATGATTTGAGTCATTGTTTTGCTGACATTTGTTATGAAGAATGTTGTTACTGAGTGGTTTGTTTTTATTTTTTTTATTGTTGCAGGCCGCTTGCATCCAAACATAAGGTAAGAAACTGAATACTGCTTTGCCAAATATTGTTCATAAATATATTTTTAGTATTATTGTATATACTTTTTCTAGTGTAGTATGGAAAATTTTTGAAGCTTGGATATCTCAATTGCAGTATTTCTGTTCGAGTCCAGCAACTGCAGGAAATACTATTGTATTTTACAGGTAGTAGCTACAGAAAATACCTGGGAAAGCAGTTGTTTCCTCCAGTTAACGGGATCAGAAAATTTAAAGGAAAGAGAAGCTGCAGGTTTTAAATCAGGTATATGTATGTGTGTGTGTATGTACGAATATTTGTTTTAAAGATTATACTGTAATTATATATTCCTGTAATTACTGTGAAGCTATGCCATCTGAACTTACAGCATTTATGTTGGATTCCCACAGATTCATCCCCTTTTGAAAATTTTAATTTTCAGTTACAACAATTTTTGTTAGTCATTGGTCTTCAGAATTGTAATTCAAATAATTCTACCTTCCATCAGAAAAGTTACTTTTAAATGAGCGTGTGGTTGCAGCAGCCTGCATAAGATAAAAAAAGTGTTAAGCTAGGTATAAGACACACAATTCGTATGTATAAAATCTGCGGTTAACAATCCCATGATAAATACTTTGAGTTGTGGCCACTGAATATTGTTAGCAGTATTAAGAACAATTTATTTTAATTACGTGTGTTGTACTGGCTTTGGGGCATAGTCACATTTTTCTTTAGCAGCCCAGAAAATTAGGAAGCTTTTTGGAGGTCATAAAGAGGAAACATGCTTCACTTGATTTTTTTTCACTGAAATTTTTTAAAGTTCTATGTCATCTTCATTTTTCTCCTCCAGCTTTGCTACAGCAGCTGTTTGTTTGAGTAATGTTTGTTTGAATAATTGGGTTCTTATGAAGTGTTTGCAAATTAATGAATTGTTAAAATGCAGAGAGAGAGGGCAAGAGAATTGGTAGACCACCTGGCTGTGGTTTGTTTTTCTTCTCTTTAAGCAAAATTTTTCTTTCTTTAGCCGTGTCCCAGTCGCCAAATATTGCGTAAACTGAGCACCTTTCCCCTAAAGCATCTAGAATTTCTTGCAAAATGAGTGTTGGCCTAGGTGACCTCCAGGGGTCCCTTTCAAACTAAATTATCCTGTAACTGTCTGTCAGCCAGAATGTTGAGGAGGATCAGGAATTAATGAAGAAAGGGAATCACAGGTCTCTGCACATGCGCATTCTCCACATCTTCATCCTCTTTTAGCATGACCCGTACGCTGCCTCTGCTCTGTCTTTGTTCTTGTAAAGCAACTAACTAAAAGCAAAACATTGAAAACATGAAACAAGAATGCTCTAAGACTCAGGAAGCAGATCAGAAGAACCTAATGTTTATTATTTTTAGATGGTTGAAAAAGTTCCATGAAAAAAGTTCTGGCACATTAGATTTTTTGTTTTTATTCCAAATGGGAACAAAAACTGTTGGGAGAGCAGAAATTCTGAACATTTGGAAGTTCTGAGTAAAAGAGCATTTTGTATTGAGGTTAAAAAATTAGTACAACATCTGGACATATTAAAATTACTGTGAGAATAAATCATTATGGAAAGATTTACACCACCCAAGTTTTCTTAGGCTTTTTCCATAATGTAAATCTTGTCAAAACGCCATCAAAATCTTTGAATTCCTCTGAAATGTTTGAAAATTAATAAAGCTGTATCTTCCAATGCAAAGCTGTTCTGCTGAGAATTTTCATGCAGTGCTCAATAATTACTTTTTCAATACAAAGATATGAATATTTGAAGCCCAAATCAAGATTAAATGCTTAAGATGGGAAAAAGATACTTTAAATGAGATTAGTACTTTCCTGAGGAACGTAACTCTGGATGAGTTTAAAAGAAATATGTAACTCTGGATGTGTATACATCACTTGGTGCTGTGCAGAAAGTATCCAGGCTGTGGCTGAGTAATCCAGCTCAGGACTAGAAGCAGTGTTGCTATTTTGGCCTAGTTCACTGTTTTGCCTGAGTTTATTAACCCTAGCAGAATCCTATGCTAATATAACTATATAGCTTCTAATATTTAAACTAACTTTTTGAGCATTAGCCCGGGTGTTTGTTCGTGAGCCTTTTCATCGTGCCGTGTAAACTTACTATGCTTATCTTTTGGGGGTTTTTTCCTCACGTTGTGAAAAATGAGAAGTAAATATGTAAACACCTGTTTCTTGTCTTAGAAAGGTGTCTGCCAATCTGCAGGAAGAATTACTTAACTCAGCTACTGGTGGTGAAAGTGTAGCTTACAGTAAGACAGGAAAATTCTCGAGTGGTTTGAAGACTGTCCTTCATGTGGATTAGTATGACCAAATGAAGATTTTATCTAGCTGTTAGCAACAGGAAGAAGTATTAGCTTATATGTAGGTATATGCACTGTGTAGCGGAGATTAGAGTACTGCACTCTGGTAGCATCTGTCAAGTAAAATCACCCTTCTTTACTAATCTAAAACAAAAATAGCTGCGTTTGCTTATTGCAGGCATAGGAGAATGCAGTTGGTGCCTCTGTAAAGCAGTTCATCCTAAAAAGAATTCACCGTTCCTCTCTCCTGGGGATACTGCGACCAGGAAACATCTTTGAATTCCACCAAGGCCACCATAAAAGACTGGCCGGTTAAGATTGCTGGCAAAGTCACTGAACTAGTTTTCTGCCCTTCTGAGTGAGGGTTGCGAAAGGCCTGTCCTGCTGTATTTCCTCTCTGGCAGATTTTATCATAGATTCTACCAGCAGAGAGAAACTGGGTCCTTAAAGTTGTAGGTGTGTATTAAAAGGTGAGAATTCATACATACTATATCCTTACATTTCTTCAGCTTCTGACTGAAAGTCTTAATAGCCTTAGTGTTAACTAACGATAGAAAATTCATGTGTTTCGTGAAGCTTTTTCTAATGAAATGATGAATTTAATAAAACACTTGGCAAAACTTTCCAGTGTTTACCTATAGCTCTGTTTCCAAGGTGGGGGGAACCTACTATTCCCTGTTTTCTTTTAGGTCATATGGGAATTATTTTAAATGGGAAGAGTGGTGAGGATTAAGGAGTGTGAATTCTCTGCTGGCATGATGCCATAGGTCATTACTGTCTCTGCTAGACTGTCTTGGATTAACAGAATGAGCAAGTGGAAGCTACAGGTTTCTGTGATAAACAGAACAAGTGCCAATTTTACGGTAACTCCGTGTGGAAAAAAACATTTCTTAAATTACCTTAGCTGCTTTTGCTACGAGAACGTTTTTAGTAGAAACTTTGTTACATCTGTGACAGTCAGATAAAAATTACTGCTGTCTTAATGGGTACATCTTCACTTAACTTAGTAGGGAAAAAGTATCTTTTTTTTTATTTAAGTGTTCAATTATTTGTATTTGACTTTACTTGCATTGACCCTATAGCGGCCAAGAGTTGCCCAAAGCAGGTGTTTTGAAGTACGTACAAAGAAAATATTGAAAGTTGCCTAAAACTTAACATGGAAGGTAACAATGATCTTTACATCTCACTTTCTCTCCATCTTGAAGATGGATAAAAATACTGGGATCATTTATTACTTTCTTAGGAATAGAACTCTGACCTCAAGAGTCGTCTTTCATAGGAAAGAATTTGGTTTAATTTCTGTCTCCATTTAATCTTTGATGTTGCTCTTGGAGCTGCCAGCCAAGGTGCCTGTTGTGATGTGGATGTATCCTCTGGGAAAAATTGACAGATGGCAGCAAAATCTTGTACCAACACGCCAGCCTGTATCTGACCTCATGACCTGTACATGAAGGGCTCAGTATCCCATGACAAATCCCTTGAGCTATCTCGTCATCTGTATCTAATTTTCACAAAGTCCCTGTCTCATACCCATTTCTTCATTCAGCGTTTTACATAAGTTAGGTTCCTGATACCCGTTCCATCTGTTAATGCTCTGCCTTTTTTTTTTCTGCATTTCGAAATGGCTGTATAGTCTCTCTTTCCATTTCTAACCCTGTTTTCTATGCCAGCTTGCATTTCATTACCTTTTAAAACAGAATAATTGAGAATTTGATAAAATTGTTTAATACAATGAACTAATGCAAAAATTTCTTACAAGACAAAATAATGTGAGCCTGCCTCATATGCCAGGTGAAAGAAATTGCTCAGATTTAAAGTGATGTTTTAACAGATGAGAAAGGGTAAGACTGGCATAAAGATATTCAGTCATTCTTGTGGGACATACACACTTAATAAGGGCATTGTTTGATCTCTTCATTGATCTACTCATAAGACTTTTCTGCTTTTGGCTGTGACCCAAAAATGCAAACGCTTGTTTTCTAGAGGTATGAATTTGTTGTTTTGGGTTATTGCTATAACTGTAGTCCTACTACAACAAAGCCTTAACTTAGTTCTTAATAAAATATGGAGTAAAAGACAGTTTCTGTCATAGACAGCTTGTTTTGGTATTCTGATGCTAGATATTCCCTTTCTCTCCTCGTTAAGTCTAAAGAGAGAGATTTGCCTTTGAGCTTCTCATAATGGCCGATGTGTAATAATTTTACTGACAACTTAGACTAACCATCTACTACTTCATAAGCAGATCACATCAGTATTAAGTCAATCCATAAACTATGTAGAATTTCTCTCTGAAACAGTCTGATAGGTGGGTTAAGAAAAAATGCTTTCTATATATATTGTAAACGTGAATACAGCTGAATCCAATTGCATTTTTTAATATGTGAACTAACTTTCGTATCCAAAACCCAACATCTTACTATGCAGTCTCTTAGGTAAAATTATTATAACAGGGGTTTTTTTTGCATTAGCGGAAGGAGCTAATTACCCACTTAAACTACCTGAATTCGGAATCTATTAAATTGGCGTGATTTCAGCTTCTTTAAAGCAGATGCAGATATCTGCCTGTGTGATAGATACACTAGCATCAAGATACAATTTTCTTTAATTATTAAATGCATTCATGTGTCCTCCAGGCCGCCATGGAGGCACTCGCATAAAATACACTTTGTAAGGAATGTGCCTGTTCAAGAACACATTTAAATACATGTTTTGCTTGAAGCATGGGAATAACTCTGTTCCTTTTCAGGAGGGCACCAAAACATGTGTTTAGCCTGCAAGAATTGTACACATTGTAAATACATGAATACTGTGCTGAATCAGGAGGCAACTTTTTAAAAACAATTAGGGCTAACAAAACTTTATTGCGGCTGGAGCATAAAATACCTACCCTGTATGGGAGTGCATGTTAAAGCGTTAGGTTTCGACGTTATCAAATCACAGTATACTCTTTCTCCAGTCTGCTGATGCTTTCAATCTTTTAAAAACACTGGAACTGTTTTCCTGTTGCACTCAGGTACTGAAACTTTTCCTGGCGTTGGACCAAAGAAAGAAGATAAACAGCTGAGTGCCAGCTCTCCGGGTAAAAGCAGAACGGAGAGACTGACAGAGGCAGCGAGTCTTCGGGTAGCTGCAGGAAAGGACCACATGGAGGAGCAGCACTGCAATGCTGAATCAACACTGGAGCCACACACCCAGTCCACAGGGACAGTGGGCAGGCCTTCTTCGGGCTGTTTATCATCTGGGGATGCCGGTAAAGATAACAGTTTGCCGCTGAAAGAAAGACAGCTCTCTAACGATGTGGGAAAAATAGAAGACGCAGCTGGGGAGCCTGGAGTGAAACTCTCTGTTGAGCCAATGGTAGATACTTTGGTTATAACAGATGCTGATTATATGCCTGCTGATTTGGTTTCTGCTGATGAAGATGTACAAGCTGATAGAAATCTGCTCAGATCAAAACATGTTGCTGGCTCTTCAGAGACTGCTAGTGGCCAGCTAGGAAAGAGGGGGTTAAACCGGCAACAGAAACAGCCTCCTGATGATGATGACAGAAAATCTCCACAGGACAGAACTGCATCAAACGTGTGCTCTGGAAGTCATAAAGCGTCTGAGGATGAGAGTACTGCCCATTCACGAGTATGCAAGGAAATACAGAAAACAGCAGGACAGGAGGAGGAGAAGGTAAATAATGAAGAACAAGAAGATTTCTTGCTCAGATTTTTGAATGGTAACATAATAGATTCTGAAGACTCATTTGCAAACTTAGCAAACCAAGAGGACTTTGACACTGTTCCAGATATTTCGCCTGAACGAGCATCTTACAGTTCACTGGAGGCTTTATCATTAGATGACAGCTTTTCCTCTCTTGATGAACTTGCAAGAAGGATAGAGATTGCTGAGGTAAGTACTGTGAATCCTGTCATATTTACTTTACTTTATCTCAGTTATATATTTTAGGCATTGCCTTTTTAAAAATACATTAAGTATTTCTTCATGTAGCACCTTTACTTGTTCTAAGCTAATTCAGAAAAAAAGTTCCCGTTTGCCTTCCTTTTGCCTGTTAGTGCTCTGTGCCTCTAAAAATCAGATAGATTTTGCATATTAGTACGAACCACTATATATATGTAATTTTTTTCACAGAGGCTTTTAGGAGAAGAGCTGAGAATTCCTAGTAACTTACAATTTTATATGAGAGATCTGTATAATGCCAGTGATTTAACATGTAGTTCATTTCTGCTCATGGAATAAAATTTGTTTTTCCCTGCCTGTTCCCTGAGATAATAAGGGAGAGAGGCACTATGTATGTAATGAGCTGTGTATATGCACATATGAGCTAATTTTGCCAAGTTTAGACAATTTTGTTGTTCAACGAAAAGTAAGAAAGAACTTCTAAGTTTGGATCCACCTTCCTAATGTATTACTGATAGGCCACAATAAAAATGAATGCTTCTAAAGCTAAAATGCTCTTCTAAATATTCAGAAGATTTGTTGCTTTGGACTTGTTTAGAGAGAGTGTGAGGATAGCTTTGCTTTATATGTCTTCTAGTTTTGTTGCATTGGCAGCTATGGGGCCTTAAAAAGCCTTTCCTTTAAATGAAAAAAAAAAAATGAGACTGTTGTGAAACGATGTGATTCAAAATGCTGGGCGGGAGGAGGACTTGTAACAAAGGTATCTTCTTAGTGCATCTCTATTTTTAATACATTCCACAGTGCAATATCCCTTGGAGATAAAGTCACACTGCTTCTCTATAGATGGGAAGCTGATGCAGAGACCAAGAACCCATGATCGCTCAGGGTTTGCAGCCAAGGAGGGAACTAAATACTGGCGAACCATGGTGATGCTATTACATCTTCGGCAAAGCCTCCAGAGTGGGAAACAGAGTATTTTGGTTTTTCTCCCCACCTAAACAGCTTTCTGTCTCAGTTCCAAGATCAGGCACCCTGATCCACCCCTAAAACACCTTGTCTGTCTATGAGATGTCATATGTCAGATCTGAGGGCCATGTACATGAACCTGATTTTGCTTCCCCCTTTTTTGGGTCCAACAGTAGCTATACACAAGCTACTGACAAAATGTACTTGTGGAACCCCACATATTTGTTCATACACGTAATCAATCTTTTGCACTAAATCCGTTAGTTTTTGTCACTTAGAGGCTGGTTTCAGAAACAGTATTTTGTTGACAGTCTATGTTAAGCCCATGTGGATGTGTAACAAAAGAGCAGCCTAGATATCATCCCTCAGGATTAGTTTTCTTTTGAGTTCTCTGGAAGTTCTGTGTTTTAAGCTATAGGAGAGAACTGTTTCACACAGGAAAATCCTAAATTAATCCTATAGCAACTATTTAAAAATTGCAATGTTTGTGCCATGTGCATTGTAGAGAATGGGGTACGCAGGCAGCATATTTACACTGTTAGAAAAATTATGCTTGCATTGGCCCAGTGATTGATAATGATGCGTTACAGGGAATGCAGTTTCATTTCTAGTTTTGCTATCCTGCTTGTAGGCCTGCAAGTACTGTGATGGCCCAGCTGAGTCTCTGAAGAGGGGCTAAAAGTACCTGAGTCCTTCCATAGCACTCTTTCTGGCCATATAAGGAGTAATCTTGGCTGAGGCTGGTGGGAGTCTTTTCCGGTCTGTCTTAGCAAGAGGCTGGAGTTGTGTGTGGGGCAGGAGGTTTAAATCAGGGAGAAGGGAAGGAGAAGGCTTCATCTCGACACTGATAAAATTTGTAATATGCAGCATCTGATGATGTCCTGCAATACCTGAAATTGCTAGGTGCAGCAGGGTGAGCCAAGGACAGCACAGGAGCCTGTGGTGTGTTCCATTATACGTTTTTTTTTCCCCAGTTAATTTTATCACCTATCATTACCTTAGGGCTTGCTTTTCAGAAGTGTTGAGCACCTGCAGCTTTCCTGGAAGACAACGCCAAGAATTGAGAGCGTGCAGCACCTCTGAGAAATCACCACTCTTAACTTGCTTTCACTGATTTTGTTTTAGTGCTAAAATAAGATTCCATTAATGTTTTGACAAGTAGACTGACCTTTGCACCTGGCCATAACGTTTCTTTCTTTCTCATCTTCCTGAAGCCTTTGAAGCTGCATCACTTAGGCCATGGGGCTGTTTACTAAGATTACTATGTTTTCATACAATAGCTGTGAAAGAAATGCCTAGAAAATGCATTGGCAGCCGCGTGAAGAGCAGCACGGAATCCTTACATAAAAGGTGCCAGTGTGACAGTGAAAAACAAAATCAAGCTAATAAATACGTGGATCACAAAGGACAATATCAATGAATCTGACTGTGATTAAAAGTTGTCTTGAAGCAAGTACTTAGAAAAATTACCGCAAGTTAGTCAGAATGCAAGGGAGAAGCAAAGATTATTTTGAAATAGTAGAGACATAAAAATCATATAGTGGGACATTCTGCCGTGGAAGAGTAAGAGTAATTTATTGAAAATAGGCAAGGGTAAGTATTTGTCTGTATGTTTACAGTTAGGAGGTTTTGTTTGACCTCATATTGAGAACAAAAAGTCATCTCATGTAGTTCCCTATTTTAGATCCTTTATATCGCTTGCCTTTAGCCTATCATTTACAGTAATTAATTAAAGGCTGAGACTCCACTAAATTCTGACTCTGGCTTTAAATAATTAAAAAACTATAATAGTACTTTATATATAGTACACTCACTTATACTACCTATTTCTTTACCAGTATAAACCATGCACAAGGATGTGCAAATGATGGCTTTTCTAAACAAAATCACTGTCGTTATGTGAAGACTAAATTGATAAAGCTTAACAAAGAGCTTTGAAGTACAGTCAGCAGTTGGTAGCCACAGGTTTCAGAAGTATATAACCTCTTCTTAAATCTCTTTGCTACTGTACCTGGGAAAATCAAGAAGTGACACACCAGCAGTCAAACAAATTGTACCCTTAATAAAGGGACATAGCTAATGGGACTTTTTAGTCCTTATTTCACCTAACCATAATGTAAGCAGGTGCATTTTACCAAGTAAAAGTTTGTAACGTAAACTTTGTATTTCAGTGTCGAGGTTCTTAAGAAGGCCATTAAAATCTTAATGTTTTTCCAAATAGAAAATTATCTTTTGAAATTTCTTTCAGAAAGCAAAGATAATGAGACTCCCTACCACAACAGAGAGTAGTAGCCACGTGGATAGCGTTGTTGATGCACTGAGGCTTGAAGAAAGGATTGAATATCTGTTGACTGGCAGTTCATCTGATAGCAGAGATGACGCTTCCAGCGAACTGTACTAAGTCTAGAGGCAATGTCCTGTTGAGATCCCCTGTTCTCTTGTATGACTTGGGTCCTGTGGTTTTGAGTTTGTGAGAATTACGTTTTTACATGAAATGCTTACACAGGATCTTGTCATGGACCATGTAACAGAGCCCCAGTACTTGCATGGTAAGCATTTAACAAAAAAAGTGGTTAGTCTAGTTATAGTATGACTTCTGAATCTGCTCAGTTAGCTCCTTTTCAAAAGTTGAATTATTCACACATCAAATGTGTTCTTATTACTGCAGTAAAGGGGTTTGTTCACTTCTCGCAGCTTAACTCGGGGCAATCTTGCCTTCTGTCAGTTTGTGGTGTGCTTATGGATTAGTGCTTTAAAAAAACATGTTATTGCTCAGAATAAAACTGTAGGCCTGCACCAAGTCAATGACTAGAGAATCAAGCCCTCAGAAGAAAATACAACAAACCTTCCCCTTGAATGGTTCTCTGCATTCAGACCAAAATGCTTCATATGATGTACTTTTCTTCCTAGACCTCGGTGTGCAGTGCTTCTGGTTGTTGGGTTTTTATTTGCTTCTCTATGCTGTGAATGATTCCAGTAGTCAAATCTGTTTTCTGTAAGAGTTCAAAGTATAGGACCTTATTTTTAAAGTTTTGTCTGTTGTGTTTATAAAAATAAATATCATATTTAGTTGGTCATATCTGGAGCAAATATGGATAATGTATGAAAATTTTTGAATTTTTTTTAGCAAATGCTGTTTTAAACAGAGAGAAGAGGGAGGTAATTTTGCTGGGACTTGTTTTTTCTAATTGTGCAGGCAGCGTGTTAAACTTTTGATAAAGTGTATAACTTTCCTGTGTGAAGCAGGATCACTTAGTATTACTAGTGGTAAAAAGAGAAAAGCTAAAATATGTAGGAGACTGAATCAACCAGCAGTCACTGCTGCTTTTCTTTTTGACTGTTGGTTAAAAAGCCACCATACACCTGTGTGCCGTTTTCAGTTCCTCTGTGGTCGTCGTAAAAGCTGCAGTGAGATGATTTTATGAAGGCCAGCAGAGCTGAGTGAGTAAGCTCAGTTATGTAGCTACTCCATCAGCATCTTTTGTTAATTATCTAACTTAGAATTTTAAAAATTTCCATATTTCAATAGTCGCCTTCATGTAGTAGCGCTTTTATGTAACACATAGTCGTTGCAGTGCTGCCTGGTGCAAGCCTGCCTTTTTCCTCCTGTGGTTCAAGCCGAGCCGAGGCTTGACTTGTGGCTGTTTTAACCACAGTTCCCTACTGAAATAATGGTATTCTGCCTGTTTAAATTCCTCCTGCCTCCTGAAAACTGTGATGAAAAACTTGTAGTCCAGCATGGCTGCTAAGGCTGCTGGGACGGTCTGTGCCCTGTTACTTTCCTTGGCTGTTTCATTAGTGGGAGATAGATCTAGTCCAGTCAATTTGCATGTTGCTTTGATATCTTTCTAAGTGACAAGTACAGAAGAAAAATACATTTACAATTGCTGTAACTGACTGAGATTTTATTTGTAGCAAGACAGACCCTGTTCTCCTGTGATGGTCTTGGGTACAGTAAGGGCATTTTAATGACGGAAAATAAGAAAAAGAAAATGTGTTATTCGTGTTAGAAAATTTTCAGCTGCATTTGGGAATGTGGTAGACAAATGTAAACATTGCTTTATGCAGAATTCCATATGTTTGTATTTGTGTTTGCACTTCAAGAATAAACTCTGTCCTGAGTAGGAGGCATAGCTTTGTAGGTGCTCTGCAGAACAAAATTAAAACCTGGATTACATGACTAGTGAATTGAAAGGCCGTTGAAATATTCTGTTTGAATTGACATTCTTGTCAAAGAGAGCCTTAAAAGTACAGTCGATGGCATTTGCTGGGTCATGAGAATAACACTGGGCATACTGATTTTTATTACAAAACCATAAGCCCTTGCTCCCCCGTTTTAAGCAAAAGAAGACATTTAGCGTAGAGAAACTCGTGCTGCAGTCATTTATTCTGTTCAGCTCTTTATGCCTTTAGAAGTAAATCCTGAAACAGAGTCACTGTAGGCTGACAGGAAAGGTAAGCGAACCTCATCGTGGCCAGCCTTCCCTTTGCCTGCCTTTTACGTAACCGTAACACTGAAACGCACGTTGCTGGCTAAACTGGCCAAACATAAGCTTAGAGGAGACAGAGCTTGGAACACAAACGGTCATTCAAAAACTCCCGAAAGCCAACAGGCAGAGTTAAGGGAGTGCACGTAAAACAAGTACTTGCCGAATGGACCACCACATACTAATAATCCTCGGACAGACTAATCAAAATGCCCCGGCAGCCCTCTGTGGCGTTCCTGTCGAGAACGGTCTGAGGCACTTGTTAACCCGGATCTGGTGACAGCTAGCCTGCTGCGTGGGTGGTTCGGGAGGAAACACTGATCCTCTTTATAAAAGCATTGGCATACGTAGAGGCTTAAAATAAACTAGAATGGACATAATTTGGAGCCCCTTTCATCTCCCCCCTCCCAAGCAAAGAAGTCAAATTAATGTGCTCCTACACGAACCCCCTTCGTTGTCACAGTAAGGAAGCATAAGCATAGGTATTCATTTTCTGCCTGGCCTGATAAATTTTCATGACAGTTCAGCAAGGCCAATTTAACATTACCAGTAGAAGTTTCACTCCAGTGCACTCCAGCTGTGATGAGAAGCTTGCAGCTTATTATTTCTGGTTCATTTGTGCCAAATAATAGTCCTCCTATGTACAATGACTTAATTTCTTTATACTACCTCCACACTTTCACGACTTCATAAACGTTCTTCATTGCATTGTTTCAGTAAATAAGCCCTTCAAGCTCTTGTGTAGATAATCAAAGTATCAACAGGAAAGTACGTATCAAAAGGGGAAGTGTGTTAGAGATCAATTTTATCTTCTCAGTGGCGTTTTTGGGAACAATAGAGAGACTGTACGCATATATCCTCGGTGACCAACCCTGTGAGTTGTTCAGTGCGACAATTGCTTGCCTACTTGAGGCGTATCGAATACTGCCATGGTAGAGACATGTGAAGGTAATTGTTACCTTTACCGGTGAAATCATTGCAAACACCAGATGACCTAGTTGGTGCAGTGCGTATTGGACTGTGCTATCAATGTCTCTGAGTTCAAAGCGCCATCTCTCCCATTATAGCATGCATTGATGCGTTGTATAAGCTTACAGTGTGAAACAAGTATGGGGGCATAAGTTCTGGAGTCGCTTGCTTTCTGTTTTTGTACAGCTCTGATCATTGCAATACAAACAAGCTGGTTTTGTGTGGTCATCTAGTTTGATTAGATTACGGGGCTGTTTTGGTGGGGGTTTTTTAGGCAGTCCCTTTCACTTGTCTGTGACTACAGTGTTTGGAAAGTTGATTTTTTTTTTTTTTTCACTCCCAAATTTTGTGAAAATGAAGCTGACAGTTACAAGTATTTGAGGTCCTGTCTCCTACGTAGGTAAAAGGTATACAAACTCCGTTGCAAATGTAATGTGTTTTCTTATCTGCAACATAAAGGTACACGGTTTAATTTTTAATTTAACACATGTTGCTGCTAATCTACAAAATAGGTTTTAAAAAGTGATACTCAAACTTACTAAGAGGTGGCTTAAGACTTTTTTCAGGTAAAGATGATCTCAAGATAAAAAAAAAGGGCATATCTAAATATGCTTCCTATTTTAACTCTTATAAATTGCCAGAACGCTTAGAACTGCTTGCTTAGGAAAGCTATATGGAGCTTTTTAACTCCCTTAAAAAAGTAGCCAAAGAGCAGTATAGAAGACGCAGATTTTACTAAATTATGGTGACTGTAGAACTAAGGAACTAGATTTGCTTGTATTTGCGTTACTTAGATAACGCTTTCTGTCTTAGTGTTGTTTACAGATTTCCTTCATTGCTTAAACTGTTGTATTTGTGGTAACTTTAAAGAGTTTGAGTTCTCATTAAAACAGGAGTGAAAGAAAAACTACAGATGTTTTAAAGAAGAATTTTAAAGACCATGAGCAATGAGTCTTACACTGAATGCTAACACTCTCGTATTGATTGCTACCCTGTGAAAGATCAGCATATTCTTGAACTCCAGAAGTTTGCTGAAGTATAGTCTGTCAATATGTTACCAGGTCTGGCATATGATCCTGGAAACCCAGTTGCAGGGTTTCATCAGATGACTGTTCCTATCAGCAGCTGTTTCACAAGGAATATATCCTGCTATGCTGGCAGTTTTAGAGTTGGTGGGGATATAATGTATCCAAGTCAAGTATTCTACAAATACCATTGCATCCACTTTCAAGTGTTTATAAATTAAGATTTTAAATCTTCTTGCATACCTCCTAAGTACCATTTTCCTGAGGATCATTTTGTGTAATGACATCCGTGTTTGGCAGAAATTGAAGGTAAAAGGCATAGCTGTGTCTAACAGAGACAGTCCTGTGCAGACATATGTACCTTTGTTTGTATTAACATTGTCCTCTAGTTTACTCTTTCAGCCCAAAATGTTTTCTCTGCTCTTTCTCTAGCTTCAGAAGACTGGATGGCACTTTTGCATGCTAGGGAATTTATTGCTGCAATAACATGCAAAACCATTTTCTGACCTCTAAGTAGGTCAGATGATTTCCCAAAGAAAATTTTTTAAAACTAATGACAATTTGGCAGGGGAAAATAGCAACTATTGTGATAGATTTAGACATTCAGGTTCTCATAATAATTATTCCCCATTCTGTTGGCAAGGGACCTTCACAGCACCATTTCATGACAGCATTCTTAGTTCTCCATGATGTGTTTTTCTCCTCATGCTCTCTCTACCTTCGTTTCCCTGATAACTAGGAAATTACAAACTGGTCAGGCTGGAGTAACATCCTACTATGGCTTTGTAGGAAGAGAAAGCATGTATTCCTGCAGCTAAGTTGAATTATACAGAGAAGGAAAGAGAAGTTATGATTAATGACTTGTTGGTCACGTCAGTGTTTGTGTAAGCTGTTTGGGTGACCAGCCTGTGTAATGGACCTTCCACCAGGGAATGATTTTTGAGCTGCTGCTTCATCCAGAGAGTTTATTGCAGCGTGGAGCTGGAATCTGTCCAGAATCGTGAAGCTTTCCTTTCCCCCTGGTGTTACCTCTTTTTGTTTGTATATTCCCATTCTAGCATTTGTCTGCCCTGAGGAACCAATAGCAACACTGAAAAATTAATCTCACAGTAAGTATTTGATAGTCTCCACAGGACTGTGTCTTTGAAGAGGCAGAAGCAATGTGTCACTGACCTCTTATGGCCCTCTGATGGTAGTATTTTTGAGTAGAACCCTCCTCACCAGCGCCCCAACTCATACAATTTAATAATGTGAGCTTACAGAGGAACTGTTGCAATGAATACAAGGCGTGATCCAAAGAGTCAGTCTGTATATTTTAACTTTGAGAGTAATTAAGGACAAACATTATCATCTTAGCCATCTCCTAGACAGCAGAATGATACTGCAGTTGACCTGCATGTTCAGAAATATACGTGTTCAAGAAACAGTTTCACAAGTGCTGCCATAGCACTTTTTTGAAGAAAAATAGAGTGGAAACCATTTTTTTCTGCTATTTATCCTATTTCCTCCTTTAAGCCATTGTTAAATAGATCTCAGGCTTAGATTTCTAACATCTGTTGTTGCACTCACTGTCAAATGATTTTTATAATCTTTCCTGATAGATTGCTCCAGCAGAAGGTTTGGTGTCTATACTAAAGAAGAGAGATGACAGGGAAGGAAAAACAATTGCTCAAGTCCAGCAAAGACAAACAAAGAGAAGAGTGCGATTCCAAGAAATGGAAGACATGTTAGATCAAGGTATTTTAAAGCTATTAACTCATAGGATACACTCTTGGGGTGCAAACGAAGTTGACCTTTTTGCTCGCAAGAGCCAAGTGGACACTCAGTGCACGTACATACTGTCTTGGCTTTTTAAAACTTAATGAAGAAATAGGTGCAGGTGACTGCTCAAAGATTATTTTATAGCAGATTTGAGTAACAAGGATACACAAGGGTATGATAAGTACATTTCCATTTTAAAGCTTGGTTGAACTGAAGCCCCAGTTTTTTTCCTGTGGCTGACTGATTTGTGAGTGAGGTCTGATGGATGTCCTTTCTTTAGTGCTTAGAGATGGGAGGTGCAGGTTCTGTCCGTGAATCTAATCAGTGTAGGTAAGGAGGGATGCAGAAGAAACAGATCTGTTACGTTTTACCCACAGATAGCTTTCCAGGCCTTTCTACTAGACGGTGGGATTGTAGAGCTTCAGATTTTAACCTAGCTTTGTAATTAAACAACCATGTAAATTTGCTAGCAGTTGAAATATCGTTAAATTTGGCTAAACACCTCAGTATCTTTTGATGGGCTAAACAGCCTCACATAAAATACCGTGTATTATTTTGCTTTGCTCTTCTTTAGCATAGTCCATTGCTGTTACTACAGAAGATATCATAACAGTAGCTGCAGTAGAAGTCATTCTGTTTTTAAGCAGGAAGGGCAGATGAAAAAGTTGTTTTCCACATAAGCCAAGAACTTTCTTTTCTTACTTTGAAGAAATTACTGCTTCTCATCACGTTGTCCTTTGAGACTATATCTACTTCATGTTTGCCAAGATCATCTAAACCTATCAAAATAAACCCTAATGTATGTGTAGTGGTGAAGCAGTAACTTATGTTTTTTTTACCCTTTGGAGTGGTAATTACTGGGTTATGGTTGTTGCTAGTGGTCATGCATAACCAGCCCCTGTTCTTCTTCCTGTGAGCTATCCCAGGAGACAGAGTTTGTCTCCATTTTCCCCCCTTTAGCATTGAAGGTTCCTGGTTCATCCCCCACTCCCTTCCCTGAAAAAGCAGGATTTTGCAAGTGATTTGGGGACAGTGAGGGTAAATCTTGGTAATGGGGGAATTTCCCAGCATCCTAAGTCAGTATAAGTTGCGATTCAGGTGAAGCCATTTCTTTGCTTGGTAGAGGGCCTTTCTTAAGGCATTCTGGTTAGGCTGAAGTTAGAGGAAGTGCAGAAGTTTGATCTATATATAATGGGAGGTTCCTTCTCTCAGATTTGCTTGGTAGGATGTTTGGGAACACGTGCAGGAAGGGACCCTCGAAACTTTGAGGAAATCAAACTTGGCCACTGGATGTGAAGGAGAGATGTTGCAATTTACACTTAAAAACATTTTCTGCCTCTGGGAAGCAAAGTGGAACGCATAGCTCCAAAGGAGTAAGGTTTACCTATCAGTATGTTTGTTTTCCCCCTCTTCCACAAGACCTACAGTGGAGTCTTAAAAACTAGTAATCTCTAGAATGTGGGAACCCATAGGAATATTAGTTTTGATAAGCCTTTGATTTCTATTGTTCCTTCGAATGAACAACATTTATTAATTATCCTACTCAGTAGACTATGAGAGTTGTGCCATGGTCAGTGTCTCCTCTTATGATGATCCAGAGTAAAAGTGTATTGAGGTGTTGGGTGGGGAGAGGGAAAAAATAATGCTGTTGGCAGATTTAAACTGGTATAAACGATCATAGGAAAGTTACCAGGGGATATTTTCTTGTAGGTATTGCTATATAATATGGAAAATTTTATTAATAAAAGAAACAGGCAACATTTCTTACCAGAAATCAATCAATCCAGCAGTTAGAATATGAAAGTAACATAAAAGCTGAGTACATTAGCTGCTTAGTTGCCTCTTTTGCAGTGAACATATTAGTGTTTTCTGCCTGGAAGGAAATGGCCAAGTACTTCCCTCTATATATTTTCACTTACTGTGGGAATTTATTGACTCATTATCTTGACATCCTCAGAATCTTTTAAAATGCAAATGTAAGTAAAAGAAACTGGAAGCAAAGTTTTATTCATGGACTATACAAATATAGAGACTAATGCTTTTCATTATGATCAATGTTGTCTCATTGCTTTCCCTTTTTGGGTTCTAACTATTGTGCCTTGTCTAATTTTTGCATGTAAATTGCATGGAATAAAACCTAATATTTGGTTCTGAATTAATACATTCCCTGTTCAGTAGGGTTCTGGTCCATGCGTAGAGTTTTTAGATACTATTCTAAAAATAATAGTTCTATTTTTGATAATTAACTCTTGAAACAAGTTTCTAAGGGTAAAGAATTCTCCCTCATTTGAAATCTAGAAATCAAGATGAGCTATAGCTATTTTAATGTATTTATCTATATTGTATACATTATATATACATGCACAAACGTATGCGCACAGACTCACCCCAGTACATGTGTCAATAATCAGAAGTTCAGTTTAATTTAGGAACCAAACAACTTTTTTCCATTGTATGACTCATGTTATGTAGAAGGTCAAAGTAGGTAGTTGAAACAATCTGATTTGATCCATAAATATTGACAATGTATGTGACCTCTTTTCTCGGGAGTAGCAGGGTTGGTGCCCATATTGTCATTAAATTGTATAAAATATTTATCGTTTCTGGTTTGCTAATGAATTTTAAATCATTGACATTGAGATTTTTTCGTTGTCATTTCTAATTCTAGGAATTGTTTCCTGTATGCACTATATTCTGTTATTCAACAAACATTACGTTGTCACTGTTTCCAGTTTCTACAGTGTTATGCTAAAATGCAGTAATAATTTTAAACCTCAAAACTATAAATATTTGTGTGGGTTTGTGCAGATCACACACGCGCACACACACACACACACACGCACACATATATACACACATATATATTCACATAGCACACCCCACAAGGAATCTCGTGAATCTGTGTCACTGTAATCCTTTCTTGCCTTTCTGCCAATCTTTACCTTTTCTTTTTTACTCAGTGTACTCACATAAGGTAGATGGATATTTTGGAGGTAAAAATAATATTTTATACAGTGCCAAATATCTTTAAAGTATTGTCCATAATATAAATATGTGTTATATACGGCCATTTCCCAAGGTGTCAAACTTTGTGTTTTCCTCATGTGGGCATGAGTTTCCTAGTGCATCAGAAGTATTTTACAATCAGAGCCAAATGATTTTACAGTCGGATTGCCCAAATGCTTTTTTTGCAGTCCTGAAAACTGCAACAGGAAAACGCTGTCTAGCTCCAGTGGTCTGTAATGGTTGAGGCATTCGAGTGCTCTTGAGTCGTTTCAAAGAGAACTCTTGTATTTTTCCTTCCTCAGGGGGTTGTTGTTAAAATCTGTTAAGAGTTGTTAGATTGCAAGGACGTGCGATACTCTCTCTACTGTTGTGCCATAGTATCATTTCAACTAATGCCAAGTTCTTCTCTCTAATCCTGGAGTGGTTTCATTATACTTGGGTACTGTGTGTCTGAGAAACTGAGCAGAACTGTAACTCTTGATAAATTATTCAGTGTGTAAATGTCAGGGTAGACTTATGTTCTGCTTTTTGTGTAAGCAGCCATAGTTAGGTCATTATACTTTTTCATTTTGTCCAGGATACAGGCAGCACCCATAAAAGTAAATGTTGTAAGTAAGTAAAATTGTAATGGTGAAATTATTCTAATTCTGTAAAACTTTTACTTAAAAATAAAAATCTAGTCCTCTCACTCCAGGATTTAAACGTTCCTGCACCAATGTCTCTAGTTAACGTAAGATCTGCTGAAAAGCTCTTCATCATTTCTGCAAAAGAATGAGTTTTTTTGCCCAGTAAAGCAAACAAAACACTGAGGGACATTTATATAAGTTTCATTGTATGTATTCATTTTCATATGTAGAAAATACAGTTGAAGTCTTATAAAATATCTTTGCCAAAAAAAGTTTACAGTTTCACAGGTAGTTCAAGTATCTGAACATCTGGATCTTTTTAAATAATTAACAGCAGCTCCAAACTCAGCTTTTTTTTTAAGAGCAAAGCTGTATGCCTTTTGGTTACTGGTAGCAATAGTTAGTGGTAGATTTCTAACAAACAGCTGCTTGTAAAGGTGACAAAGGGAGCTGGAGCTTCTTTGTGTGTCTGTCAGCAGTGAAAGCTTACCGGCTTACCTTACAGCTTACCAGTGCAGGATGAAGTGACCCTCAGTAATTGTGATTATACAGAAGTAGCACTAGGAGAATGCTCTTGTTTCTGTACAGAAATATGGGTTTGGTTTACCTTCCGACACTTAGAAAAGAGTTTTAAGCAAATATCTTGAAAGAATAAGAGCATCTTCATGGACTGCTGTACCAGTCTATCTGGCCAAATGCTTTGGGGAAGCAAGTCTCGAATGGTAAACTCATGGCTGGAGTTTAAAATCTCTGTTATTCAAGCTAAAAAGACTTCAGACAAATACTTTTGGTTACAAACAGTAGTACTTTCTATATCCTCTGCTTGTGCCAGAGGATATATAATACAAATATGACGTATATAATATGAAATGGTATTAATATAGGTCTTCAGCACTTGAAAGTATATTAAATGCCTCTCATAACACTGAAAAGAAAATCCACTCACTGCCCAGGAGGGGAGCTCATCACATCTTCTTCCTGAAAATAGTTAGAAACAATTTATATTTTAAATACAATTTTAATGAGAGTTTCTTATGTGAAATTTGTTGTTTTCTACAGAGTTAGTGATCCAGAAGGAAACTTGTTGTTGTTGTTGTTGTTGTTATTTTAAACCAGTTTTCCAAAGTGTTTGAACTTTTTCTTCTTTTCTCCTTCTCTTCCATTGTTTCCTCTTGCTGATATAGGACAAAAGAAATTCAGAATTTTTTTTTCTTAGAGCCTCTTTGTTCTGACAGAAAACGCACATGTTGTTTATGCAGGCAAACAAGTTACCAAGGATGAGTGAAGCTGTGAGGATGTAGCAGCTCGCCTGCTACATTGCTCTGCTACTTGTTGCTCTTACCCTGGAATAAGCAATCATGCAAGGAGTTACCACAGTACAACTGTGGTGTTGTGTACAGTACAACTGTGGTACAACTGTGGTGAAAGGTTTTTAAAAAAAAACCTTTCACAGTAGCCTACCTTGGAGATTTTGCCTCCATTCTTACAGTGACAATGTAGGACTAAACACAAACTGTTCACTCTAGTGCATTCAATGGCAATACAAAGAAACAAACAAACATTTCCATTTGTTTTATTTTCAAAGCTTTAATTTCATTTCAAATATTTCCATGAAAGAAGGCTTTGGTTGTGCCAGCATTCTCATATTTAAGTTTATTGTGCTCCAGTATGGTATGACTCCACAAGTGAAATCAGCAAGGAAAGATGAACGGGTTGCAGAAGTGAAGCAATATAACTACTTAGGTTTAAAAGGCTGATTTGTTTCCACATAGGTAGAGAAATATACAGTTCTAGGTATTATTCTTGTCACTTTGACATGACTTGTGACTTTGAGCATCAGTACGTGAGTCTACCTGACCCATTTGTGGACAAAACCCATCTCAGATTTTCTCACACACGTTCATATTGTTTTGTATGTGGTTGTTTTTCACTTTTCTGCTCTTACATTTACAGATGAAGCAGCTGGTGGCTCCTGTATTTTGCTGGTCCTGTTGTGCATAGCAACTGTTTTCCTTAGCATTGGAGGAACTGCATTGTACTGCACCTTTGGTGACATGGAATCCCCTGTGTGTACTGATTTTACAGCCAACATGGACTTCTTTTATACCCAGATATTGCAACGTATGGAAGAACTTAAACACTGGATAGCCTTCTCATAGTTGAAATGAGCTGAGCCAGCACACTAAGAGCTCACCAATGATTACTGGAGAGGTTAAAAAAAAAAGTGATTTCAAGTTCTCTATAACACTTGCCACATTTCAGCTGATGTATATTTGATGATGTACTTACACTTAGTAATCAAGAAAAATTCTAGTTTAGCAATCAGGTGGCAACATGTTCACATCTTAAGCTGTAGCAGTGTGGTACGGGAGAATAAAAAGTCATTCTCTTCGCCCTTTTGAGATTAGGCAAGCAGCTTTCCAACATCTTGAGCAAATGAAGAAGAAAGAAGGAAATTAACTGTCTTCTGTCTGCTCTCCTTTTGCCACACATTGTGTAAGCAGTCTCTGGAAGCTTAGTAAAAGGACAGCTTTGATTTACAGCTGTTTGTGCAAAGGTGTTGCCTCCAGCTATCATGCAATAAGTCTGTGTTTTATGAAAACATTATTTTTCTTCTAAGTCTTACTATTTTTCTCCATTTTAATTCTCCTGGTGAGCCATGTAATAATTTGGGTGGAGTGAGAAAAGTGCAGCAACATTCACTGAGCCCTCATTCTGTGATAAACAGGCTGACCCTGTATCTTACAACTTATGGTGAATGTCATGAGTAGGATAAATCTGCTGGCAGATTTCACTAAATTTCCTGGAACTTTATTCCCAGTATTGTGTGGACTGTTTTAGAAATAGAAGGTCAAAAAGGAAAATCATCGGTCTCACTGAGCACAGAAAGAATAAGATATTTAGTAAATTATTCGTATTAATAGTAAAGTGGCTTTTGCCAGTTTAAAAGCATCTTGAAGTAGGTGTCAGGCTAACTGGGTTTTCTTTCCAGCTATGTCACTGGCTTGCAGTAATCACCTTGTGCCTCGGTTTCTCCTCTGTAAGTGGGGAATAATGCTCCTTGCCTTTGTCTGTGAATACTTATGGAAATTAGGACTCATGTGTGATTCTCTTGCATCCCAGATGAGTGCATAAGATCACTGGACTATGTGGCTGCAGTTTCTCTCAATGAGTGAATATTTATGTAAAGTGGGACTGATCCAACAGAAGAAATTCAGAGTTTCACTGCAAATGCACAGTAGGTTGATAGTCCAGGGCACTCTTTCTTGCAGACAAAGCACATTTGCATCTATTTGCCCCCTCATTTTGAGACTTGTATTGTAAAATCTGTTCTCTCTTTTTCTATCTGCTATACGAACAAATTTAGATCAGTAAAAAGAATCATTTTAAATGGGTATTGTTATCACGTGGTGCTCAGCCCTTCCTGTGTTATGGTATGTGAGAGAAACACTGACATGACTGTGAAAGTCAGAACTAGATACACAGGCCTTTGGCCCACACTATAGTCAAAATGTGGCAGCTGTTCTTGCACACAGAATAACGGCCTAACCTTGCTGAAGGTGTTGGTATGAAATGATTCCTTTACACCTCAGGAAATAGCATTTTGAGGGGTCCACTTCACTCCACTCAGTGATTTCCTGCTTACTAATATTGTATGATGCAGTATGTTCAGGTTTAGAATATTATTTTGTAAAATATTATGAAGTGAAATCCTCAAGATATTGCTCAGAATTATAAACATTAAATGATCATGCTTTCTGGCATTTGCAAGCAAATTGTCCCTCTAGTGAGCTTGATTGTTCCTAATGCACTGTTATACTTAACGGGTTTTTAAAGTTAAAGTTAAAATCACTTTTTTTAGAATAAATTGCATGTGTGATTTCTCTTTTTGTTTTCACAGCTGAGGCTTAGTTTATTTATACCTATATATTTATTTATATAGGGAGCCTCATTTGCAGCTTTCTATTAAAACTAGCAGATTTAAAATGCCCAAATTAATGAAAACTTTTGCTTTGAAAATGAAACACAAGAACAGTAGTTCGCTATATTTTTTGTTCGTTGCTGTTAGAGTATTCTAACGCTGGGCTAATGTAAAGGAGAAAGGGAAAGACACTTTTGTATCTCTAAGCGTTACTGACTGGTTCAGTTTATTACTTTAAATCTGGGTTTATTTATTTAGTTTTTATTTTAAAGATAAATGCAATTTTCTTCTTTTCTGGTAATTTACTCAAGAGTAATGAAAAAGCATGCATTCAGTTAAAGTATGTATTTATAATGACTGTGCAATTAGAATATATTTGGGGTTTCTGCAACTTTTTTTTTTTTTCCAGCAACTTGTGCATTGAGTGTTTCAGGATATTAAGTTTATTCCTAAAGCAGCAAGTACTGATTTCAGCTTAAAAAAACTCTTTAGTTTTTGTGCACTTCATCACCAAAAAGATCAAGAGGTATATATAAAACTATTTATGCAAAAGTATATCAAATATGAAGATCAAAGATCCTCTACTTCTAGGTTCATTTAATTAAACTATTTTAAAATAATTATTTTATTTAAAACTGTAAAGCTATTTAAAGTCAAAATCGTTTTTAATAAGCAGTTCAATTTGAAGTCTGTGGTCCAAATCCTGTACTATGGTATGTTAGCTTTGTGCTAGGTTCCCAGTGTGAAGACTCACTAATGTCGGCAGAACTGCGTACAAGAAGATCATGAAGAGGTAGGGCACCGCTTTTGCCAGCACATACTTGATGAAAAATGACTGACAAGATGTTCCATGTAACTCAGCTACCTTCCACTTGTGTTGTCACTTGGAGCATCTCTCTAGCCTTCCCAGCTTATGCCAAGGTACCACACCTGCAAAGTCTCTCAGGATTTGAGGGAGCAGCAAGGGCACGTACGCACAGGCTGCCCAGCTCCTCATCTCACCTGTTCACTCCTCACTTGTAAGCAAGTACTTGAATCTGGATTTAATATCTGTTTGCATTCCTTTACAGAATGCTGATGGTACTAATTCATGCTTCCGGTGACAGTTCTATTAGGACAATAGTTTGCGTGGTCTGTAGTACGTTATCAAACTTGTGGTTCCTCTTATAACCAAATTTGCTCTGCCTTGAACTCCGAATGGTGCACGGGTAGGCCTGACAGGGCCTTGCTCTGTATTCTGCTCTCTTCTGATTGTTAGTGACGTTGCTCCCGTCTGCGTGACCTGAGTGCTTGCGATCTTAGAATCAGGTAAATCCAAGCCAAAAGAAAGAGTTGCTTTGAACAGTAATTCCTCTATCAGAGTATTTTGTTGTAAAATAATGATGAGCAACAACAGCTAAGACTGTTGTAAGTAGGAAGCAATCCGAGAAACAAGGATTTTCCCCCCGACACTTTTGGCATTTTACAGCCCTCTGTGTATAACAGTTTTCCTTTGTTCTTTCTCCTTCCCTGCAAGTGTTTGTATGAGTTTTCTGCTTGGCAATAGGGGAAAAATATTATACCTTTATAAAACAATTTGTAGTTTGTAGGAGAATTCAGGGAAAGGTTCAGTATTTGGCGGTAACTAAAACTCATTTTGTAAAATATGTCTGCATTGCAAGTTGACAGGGTACCTTAGAAAACCGTGGCCAGTTATTAGTCTGCAGCATTCTACTAGAAACTCAGTTTATTCTCTGAGCCTTAGGTATATTAGAGAGGTTCTCACAGTAGAGCAAAACCAGCACGATTCTTGCTGTAGATTCAGCATAAGCAGCCAAAAAAGAGCTTTCTGATTAACCCTCTAATTACACCCCTTCCCAAACAGCGTACACTACAGCAAGAAAAGCACTCTACCATAGCATAGCCCCACTGTACCACAGGCTTGTTTTCAAAACAGTGTCAGTAAGAAGGTATGTTTTGCACAGTCCAGATACGCCAGCAGAAGTTTGTAGTCTAGACACACTCTGTTTTAAAACCTTTTTCAGTACCTTTGTTTTCATACTGGGAGGAAAACGCGTACCCTGGTCATAAACAGCGGGAAGTAATCTCACCAAAAGGGAGACTCTTGTTTTTGGGCTTTCTGGGAGTAAAGGACAAGCTTGAAATACGAAGTAAACAGAGTAGATTGGAATTTTTAATTCCTATGTGATTGGGTACTTGTCCACTCAGTGACCAAAAGGGATGCTATACTCCCAAGAAAACGTGGTTGCCTACTTTGTACCATAATGTAAAATCAAGACCATCTGAAAGGAATAATAGCTATTTGTAACAAATTTAACTTTAGCTTCCTTTAGCAAAAGGAGTAACAATTGTATTTGAAACCATCACCCAAGCTTGTAATTTGAATACTGTAGCAAAAAAAATAAAAAGTGTCCCAAAGAAAACATATGAACCTTTTTGGGTACTGTGATTTCTACATGTATGAAAAACTGACAGGATGTTCTGTGAAATTCAGGTAAACGAGCAGTATCTCCACTGAGAATTTTGCGATCAAACCCAAAACAGAGTGGTAAATGAGGATAATTTGCATGAGGTTTGGTTTTGTTTTTAATGTAAGGTCAATTTATTGGATTCTTTGGTGGGTTAGTTTATCTTTTTTTTAATAGCTGAAGGAAAAGCCACAGAGCTTGGCTAGTTTAGACAAGCGCGTCTAAAGTGCTAAAATGTTACGTTACTGCATCATTCTGAAAACACATTGACAGATGGTAAGTTACAGAAATCCTCGTAACTGGGTAGGTGACCTCATTAGTGATCACAGGCTGATCTGCTCTTTGAATTCAATTTAAAAAACAAAACAACTCCAACCCAACCCAACCCAACCCAGTGGCTCGTGATTTGAACAGAAGCATACCAACCCTATGTTTTCCAACATCCCCTCCCTTGGCCTTCCCCCAAAAGCCAGGGAATGAGGCCACCCAGAATTTTAGTCTGGCTTAAAAAATAGTGAACTCCTCAGAGTAAATTAGCTACTTTTTTTCTCTTGGGGTTTTGTGGTTTTGAGTTGTTCTTCATAGCCAAAAAGAGTGAAAACAAGAATTTAAAAGGAGAGAAAATAAGCAGAGATTTTGGTATCACTTCACTGAAACTTGTGAGATAACATCTCACCAAATTAATCATAATATAATATCTGGCAATCTGGAGATGAGGGCTAAAAGTGGCCTTTCTCTGTAGAAGTAATTTGCTGTTGTAAACGGTTCTTCTGTTTAAAAAAAAAAAAAAAAACCTCTGGTTTCAGGAAAACAAGTAGGTGATCCTTCACTTCTGAATCATGATCTGACTCCTGACCAGGAGCATTGGTAACCTTGAGGAAACTGGATGGGCTTCCTGAACTGGTAAGTAAACTTTTTTTGTCCATACCAGAAAGGCTATGTCTTAGGCTTCAGCTGTGTAGACACCACTGTGCTGATTCCGTACTGAGTTCACTCAATGTATCAGTCACTGCTTTCATCCCTTGGTTCTCGTCAACAACTTGTTTATGAGCAAGCTTATACCCCCGGTTTTACAGGGAGTCGCTGCAATCCCTGCCCATGCCTTCATCCCAATGAATCTCCTTTTTTCCTTCTATTTCACTCCTCCTTTACCATTCTTTCCCAGCATGAAACAGTTATGTGTTCTGCCATTTCTAAGAACATAGGTTACTGAGGTAGAAAGGGGCCTCAGGAGGTTTCTAGTCCAACCTCCTGCTTACAGCAGCATCAGCTCAGAGATCAGACCAAGGTGCTCAGGCTTTATCCAGTCGGGTCTTGAAACCCACCGAGGGTGGAGACTGCACAGCCTCCCCAGGGCTATTCCACTGCTTGACTGTCCTCACAGTGAAAAAGTTTTTTCCGTATATCCTATCTGAACATCTTTTGTTTCAGTTTTTCTCGCCTCTTGTCCTCCTGCTTTGCACCGCTGTGAAGTGCCTTGCTCCATCTTGGTGGCAACCTCATAGGTGTTGGAAGGCTGCTATTGGGTTTCAAAAAGGTGTCTCTTCTCCAGGTGATACATTGCGTGTCCTACCACTGTTCTTCTGACCCTTCTCACTATATTGTCCACAATATCCTCCTCCTTCATAGGGATTCCCCATTCTCATATAATAGCAGGGATTCTGTATGCTTCTCCCTTTCCTCTTCCAATTTACACTCTCAAATTCAGTATCAAGTTTTTAAAATCAGGAAGGGGACCACAGGCAGTACTGAAATGGCAAGGAGAACTGTTATGCTGAGAGTGTATGTGACTCTCAATGATTCGTTAATGTGTAGCAGTGATTTCAAAGCTTCGCTGATTCTTGAACTACTCTCTTATTAAACAGCTGATGTTTGAAGCATCGCATGCTAACTTGTGTGTGCCCTAATTGACATAATTCAACTATTTCTTTAAAATAGCCACACAAGGAAGCCTAAAGTACTTGATTATAATGTCCTTTTTTAAAAAATGAATTTTTTTTTAGACATTGCTTTTTTGCAACTCTTTATTATCCTTTGTGTTTCTTATTACTTTGGATTAAATGTCGTCATAATTCTCTAGATTATGGCTTAACACGAGCTAGGATTCACTTTATTCAGCGTTGTACAATAGCTGATTATCTGCTGAAGAAAGTGATTACAGGGTGTAGGTGTGTTCTTTGTTTTATAGTAGTTGCTCTGTGGCAGCTAAGATTAAACTAAAGAGTTGATGTCAGTGAATTTCAACTACAGGTCTGATTCTACACTTTTCTTCATCCTGAGCTTGTTTTGGCTGAAGCACATCCAAATTGTCAAAGGCCTGGCTAATAGTAGACTAAAATCCTCTATTAATCTAAAATTGTTGAGCTCTCCTTTCTTGAAATCAAGCTTGAATCCAGCTTCATATGACAGCAGATCAGTCAGCTCTGTCTTTTTCCTTTTGGCCAAGAAACTGGCTTGCCAAGTGTCATCTTTTAGTCAAACTGGGCCCCTCATGAGGGATTCATTTGTTAGGCTGTTAGGGAAGTTTCCAAGAACACTTCTGTCAACTGACGGTTAATGTCCCACTTCATTGCACAGCACTGAAAATGAATGTAAGACCCACCATTGTGCTTTAATAGGCTGATCACCTTTAAAGCTATTACCAAAAACAACTTTCAGACTGGGAGCTATTTTTTTCAGTCAGTGCCATGTGCTGAGCACTGCCATGAGAAAACTGTTGGTTCTCACAGGTTTTTCCGAAACATTACCTCATTTCAGGCTTGCTGTTTGTAATCTTGCAGCAATGCTTGCAGCATTTTTTATAGTGCACCTCTTCAGCTGGTCAGTTTTCATTCTGTTCTCCTGAACTGGTAGATTTTCACAATAAAGTAGCATTTGTATCAAAAGTGAAGGCATATATGTACAAGAAGCTGAGCAACCTGAGGATGTTGTTACTTCTGTATAAACTTTACACCTAAAAATGTACATTCTTTGACTTTCCCTTATTTAAGAATCATTCTTCAGTTTTTCTTGATTTTTTTTATGAGTGACATTAATCTAGTCCTCAGCTGCCTCTCCAAGAATTGAAATTGATGCTTTTTGCCACAAATAGCACGAATCCTGCCAGCTGTAGGTGATGCTGAGAATCCTCACACTCGTACAGCTTAATACTTCCAGGTCTTCGTGTTTGCAGTAGATTGGAACACTTCATTTTCTCCTCCATCTCAATCAAAATGCCCGTCAAATGGGAACATCTTGCAGTCTTTGTCACTTACAGAAGGAATTCTGACTAAATTTTTGCAACTTGTACGCTCACAGTCAAAACCATACTAAGAAGAAAGAATTATCTGGGGCTATGAGAGCTGTAAGGAAGTTTTCACACTACTTTTCCTGAGCTAGTTGAATTCAGTGTGCTATAGAAAAAGCTCACAGAAAAAAAGAGAGTATGTAGTAAAGAGCTTTGATAAAAGATGATCAAAACTTTTTATTGGTAAAGGATGACAAATATTTCTGATAAAGGCATCTATCAATGATTTTTTTCCCAGCCAGATTATATAGAAACAGAAAAAAATACATCATATTTTAATGGAGGGGGGGGGAGGGAAGGAGGAGAGGGACTAATGGTTAAAATACTGCTGGATTCTTTTAAGAATCTGTGGGAGGAATTTAAATGGTTTGGGCAAGGTCACAAAGCAGACAGAAGCAGAGTGGGGCCAGAGGTCTTAAGTCCTGTCTCCTGATCTTCTGTATGGTTCTGCCACGCACGAAGACAACACGGGGTAGGCAAGATAAGTGAGCACCCTGTTATTTGCATGATCTTTGACTTCACACAGCTTTGAGGACTTTATTTAAAGACATTTTTATATTCTGTTAAATTTTGTGGTGATCTTGAGCAGTGAAAGTGATTCAGGAAATGAATTTGCTTTCTAGTATGCAGCACTAAGTCCAAATGCCATTTTAGGGTATTTTTAGTAATTGATACCATCATTCCCATAGTAGCTGGATGCTATTTACACATATTAAAACAAAGTGTATCAACAGACCACATGGAACACATAAAATGGCAACTGCTATCATCAGAAAATGAGGCTCAAGCTATCTGTAGTCACTTTGTATTTCACTGTCTGGCCCTTACTATTCATGCTCTGTTAACTTCCAGAAAGTAACAGAGGCAAGCAGAGGAAGAATCTTCTATTGAGAATTGTATTTAAAAAAAAAAAAAAAAATCAAGCCTCAGTCTCACAGCTCTGTTGGGTTCATACAGTGCCTATAACTGTGCCAGAATCATTAGTGAAGAAACAGTACGATGTAGAAAGAAGTAGTGGTCACCAGATTCTGCCTCCCAGCAGAAATGAAGTTCTTCCGAGGCGCAGAAATGTTTTGATCGCAAAGTGGATGTTGTCATCACTGTCTACAAATGTAAAAGATGAAAACCATTTCAGATGTTCTTGGCCTCTCTCAAAATGCTTCTAATACCCTTTTTTCCTCCCTACAATTTCTGTGTTATTGAAAGCTCTCCCTTAGTTGAAGGCAAAGAGGCAAATTAAGCAGCAGTAAACCTTTTTTTTTTTTTTAACATGGCATATATTGTCTCTTACATTACTCTATAAATAGGGCACGGCTTTTCTGAGCCAATTCATTGCTGGGTAGTAGCCCATGGTTTACCTACAAAGGCAAAATAGATGACCATTAGCAATAAGTGACTCACGTATTATAAAATAGCCCCATTTGAAAGAACCGTCTGTATCGACTCATGGAGAAGGATGATGAAACAATATTTTCAGTGAACTGACTGAATTTTGTAATGCTTAGCAAGCCTTACACAGCCCACCCACACTGCCAGCTCTGTCTGGCACTTTGTTCAACTTTGTACTGGGACCTGTCACAGCTATGATTTCCCAGTGTAGAGGAGTCAGGAAGGCAAAGTCTCATTTGCTCCTTTTAGGATTGAGGTGGCGAGAAACAGCAAGTTTCTCAAAAGCAAA